GCAGAAAGTGGTTGCTTTTCTGTTTATAGAATTGCCGCTATTTTCTTAGATCTTTGGTTGAGTTCACAGGTGTTCAGAATGATTTGATAGCTGTCTAGCTGAATTGCAGGGACCAGACGAAACTAAGGTCTCCTACTCCTACGCCATCTTGTGTTATTGACTTTGAGTCACGTATTTTAAAACATTATCTACTGACTTAAATTAGTATTTACATGATTATGTTTATGCAAATATTAGTCGCAACTGAGCAATTTTTTCTTTTTGTTTTTCCTAAAGTGAATAATTGTGTTTGTTTTTCATGTGTTTGGATTTTATAGCTCTTGGTCATTCTTCTCTCACCTTTTAATAGCCTTTCAGTATATTTTTCCACATGGTCAATCACATTCAGTAATTGATCAGTTCTAACTCTTTTGAAAACATTTCTCCTGAAGAGCACTATTCTTTTAGGGCTTATTGCTCTCTAGACTTGCTGCAGGACTAATGCCTGGGTGGCTCAGTCAGTTAAGTATCTGCCTTTGGCTCAGGTCATGATCCTGGGGTCCTGGGATTGAGTCCTGCATCGGGCTCCTTGCTCAGTGGGGAGCCTGCTTCTCCCTCTGCTTGCAGCTCTCCCTGCTTGTGCTCTCTCTCTCTGAAAAATAAATAAATAAAATCTTAAAAAAGAAAAAGCTGATATAATAGTAGAGGGCATGGATGATGATAGTCTTCAGTGGATTTCACATCTTTCATTTTTCTTGGTCTACTCTCTTGTTTTGGTGGACATCCTCTAGTGGATTCCTGAGAAAGGATGTATAGCAAGTAAACTTTATTAAATTCTCCATTCTGAAAATATAATTATGCTAGCTTTATTCTCAGTTAACAGTTTGGCTGGGAGTAGAATTCTAAATTGGAAATAATTTCCTTCACAACTTTGAAGATATTACTCTTATCACCTATATCCAGTGTTGCTCTTGTAGTCCAAAACTGTTCAAACCCTGATCAATTATAAGTTATATTTTCCCCCCTCTCACTAGAAGTTTGTTAGAGTTTCCCTTTGTTCTCAAGGTTCTGAAACTTAACTGTGATGTACCTTTCTGTTGGCCTATTTTCATCCATTTTTCTAGGTACTTATTGGGTCCTTTGTGCTGGAAATGCCTTTTTTTTTTTTTTTTTAAGATTTTATTTATCCATTTTAGAGAGAGTGAGCAGGGCGGAGGAGGAGCAGAGGGAGAGAATCCTAAGCAGACTCTGTGCTGAGCCTGGAGCCCGACTTGGGGCTTGATTCCATGACTCATGAGATCATAACCTGAGCCGAAGTGAAGAGCCAAAGTGAAGAGCTGGAGGCTCAACTGACTGAGCCACCCAGGCGCCCCTGATCTGGAAATCTTTGACAGTTCAGGAGTATTTCTGGAATTATGCCATTAATCATTTCATCCCTCTGTTTTCTCTTTCTCTCTGGAATTTTGCTTAGATATTGAACATCTTAGACTGACCGTCTCAAGTTTCTGTCTTTTTTTTTTTTTAAGATTTTATTTATTTATTTGACAGAGAGAGACACAGCAAGAGAGGGAACACAAGCAGGGGGAGTGGGAGAGGGAGAAGTAGGCTTCCCACTGAGCAGGGAGCGTGACGTGGGGCTCAATCCCAGGACCCTGGGATCATGACCTGAGCCGAAGGCAGATGCTTAATGACTGAGCCACCCAGGTGCCCCTTTTCTTTGCTTTTTTTATCTCTATATCTTTTTGTTCTTTCTGGGAGATTTCTGTAGCTTTATCTTTCCGTCTCTATTTTGCTATCAAGATTTTAATTTCCAAGGCTCATTTTTGTCCTCGAATATTCATTTTTTTAAAGATTTAATTTATTTGTCAGAGAGAGAGCGTGTATGCCCATGAGAGCACAAGTCGAGGGAGGAACAGAGGGAGAGAGAGAGAGAGAGAGAGAGAGAATCTGAAGCAGACTCCATGGGGAAGCAGAGCCTGACACAGGACTTGATCTCACGACCCTGAGATCATGACCTAAGTCAAAATCAAGAGTCTCATGCTTAACCAACTGAACCCCCCAGGCACCCCTGAATATTCATTTTTAAAACATAATATGCTATTGTTGTTTCATGGATTGTAAGTAGCTAATCTCACTGCTAATCTGTGCTCTCCAGGTTGCCTTTTCTTTTTCTTTGTGTGGTCTCTAGTCTGCATGTTAGAGGTGTTTCTCAGTGGTGTAGTCCTTGGTTGTAGATTCTTATTTGGGGACAAAAAAGGTGATTGACAGCTTGGATTATATAGGTGGGACTTACTAACTTTGAGCAACAATATGGAATGATGTTGGTGGGCCTTTTGTTGGGGAACTCCTCATTTAAATATCCTTAGGTTTTTCCTCTTCTGCAGGCAGGATTCCTCAGAGAATATTCTTCCAGTCTCCTGCATGAAATTTCTAGAGCTAAGTGCTGGAAGATGGCTGAGCAGATTCTCAATATTCACCTATTTTTAGGATAGTACTGTTTTTAGAATATAGTACCCATGCCCTCAGATCAACTGGTCAGTCCACAATGCAAAGACTTTCTGTCTTACCCTTTCTAGAGATTAACTTCTGGATTTTTTCTGGGGATGGGAAGGAGGTAAGTAGGCAGGGAAGGGGATCTGTTTCTTGACAGCTTTTACTCTCGTCTGCTTATTTTAGCACTACTAACCATCCCCAGTTCAAGATCCTTTTGTAGATTCTACAGTATCATCAGACTGATTCTCGGCTTTCCTCACTGTTGGTTTAGGATTCATCTTTTTTAGTTCTGCTAATTTAGTTTCCACTTGTCTGTCTATTTTCTGATTTCCAAAAATTTGGTGTTGCTATCCTTTCTCCCATTCTCCCTGTCTTTGTAGATCTAGAATTTTTATTTATTTATTTTTTAAGTAAGCTCTCTACCCAACATGGGACTCAAACTCACAACCCTGAGATCAGGAGTTGCATGCTCTACCAACTGAGCCAGCCAGCTGCCCCAGTAGATTAGTGTTTTATCTATCTATCTATCTATCTATCTATCTATCTATCTATTTATTTATTATTTATTTATTTAATTTATTCATTTATTTTTAGATTAATGTTTTTTATTTTTTAAGATTTTATTTTATTTGAGACAGAGAACAAACAGAAGGAGCAACAGGCAGAGGGAGAAGCAGGCTCCTCGCTGAGAAAGCAGCCTGATGTGGGACTTGATCCCAGGACCCTGGGATCATGACCTGAGCTGAAGGCAGACACTTGACCGACTGAGCCACCCAAGCATCCCTAGATTAATGTTTTTTTAAAAAAATCTTTTTACTTCAGCTTTAGTGGGATATGGGGAAAGAATGAAATTAGATATGTATGTTCAGTGTACCATCTTAACTTGGAAATTATGAAGTTTATATTAATAAGGACTGTTTTGGTTGTAAATAATAGAAACCCAATTCAAACTAGCTTAGGGAGAAAAGTTATTGGCTCCAGAGCCTGGGAAGAGTAGTTTACAGGATTGAAGGAAGAAGTGCATGAACCAGGGCCTTAAGTTCTGGTCCTATCAAACCAGAACTCTCAGTATCACCAGGACACTATAAAACTGTATATGTGTATCTGTGTGATCTGTTTCATGAGCGCATGGTTTTATTTTGCAGATAGATTCTTACCCTGTGCGGAAAAGCTGGCTGCTTACAGAATTTATATCTTCCCTCTTTCATAACTTCATTGGAAAAAGAGCCCTTTTTTCCTTATATCTAAATATAAATATGAGGATTCTTACTGATTGGCTTTGGTCACTTGACTACCCCTAATCCAGATGGAATGGGGGAGGAGTTTTCTAGAAGAAAAGGGGTACTTTTACCAGAACAAGGGGAGTAAGATGGCACAGGGTCAAAAAAGTAATAGCTACCATAGTCCCCTCTTGATGAGCTTTCCAGATTTTTCACTGTTACAAACAATGTTGCACTGATATCTGTAGGATAAATTCCTATAAGTGGAATTGCTAGGTCAATTGGATTTTTATTATTGACAGATGTTATGAGTTTGATCATCAAAAAGATTTTATCAGTGTACATTCCCACCAACTGTTTGAGAGTCCATTTCCCCATACCGTTGCCAAATTGGGCATTATTAATCTTCTCATGTTTTCTCTAGTCTATAGGTAAGAAGTGGTATCTCATTATTTTAATTTGTATTTTTTATTTTTTTATTATTTTTTATAAGAGTTGAGGATACTATGGCTAAGATTTTAGTTATTTATTTGACAGAGAGAGACACAGCGAGAGAGGGAACACAAGCAGGGGGAGTGGGAGAGGGAGAAGCAGGCTTCTCGCGGAGCAGGGAGCCCGATGTAGGGCTCGATTCCAGGACCCTGGGATCATGACCTGAGCGGAAGGCAGATGCTTGATGACTGAGCCACCCAGGCGCCCCTTAATGTGTATTTTTTTAATTATTAAAAAGTGTTGAACATCTTTAAATTTTTTTTTTGGCCATTTATGTTTCTTTTTCTGTGAACGGCTTTCATTATCCTTTAAAAAGTTTTTGGATTATTGGCCTTTTCCTTGTTTATCTTTTTCCTTTTTTTTACACATTGATTTTTGAGAACTTCTTGCTCATTAAATAAATTAGCCCTTTGTTTTAATTCTTTTATTGTGGTAAAATATACATAACACAAAATTTACCATTGTAAGCATTAAGTGTATTAAATACATTAACATTGTTGTGCAACCATCACTACTATCCCTCTCAGAAGTTTCTTATCTTCCCATATTGAAACTTTGTACCCACTGGTTGCTAACTTTTCATTCTTCCTTTTCCCCAGCCCCTGGTAATTACCATCCTACCTTCTGTCTCTGTGAATTGGGCTACTCTAGTTATTTCACTTAGCATAATGTCTTCCAAGTTTAACTCTTTGTTTTTATATGTAGTTTGACAGCTTGTTGAGTCTTGAAATAATTCATGGTGATATTTTAAGCTGCTTACCTACTTGTCTTCTTTTCCTTTAAACTCATTTAATTACCATTTATTTTATCTCCTAGTATCTCGGAAAAGGAAAGCCAAGAACTGGGAGGATGAAGACTTTTATGATAGTGATGATGACACGTTTCTTGATCGGACCGGCCTGGTTGAAAAGAAGCGTCTGAACCGAATGAAGAAAGCTGGGAAGATTGATGAGAAGCCAGAGACCTTTGAATCATTGGCAAGTTTTAATTATAGAAGTAGCTGTGGTAGTTTAATTTTTAAATAAGATAATGTATTATTCAAATTTGTTTTATAATTATAATTTTTAAAGCAGTAGCATTGAAATTTGGCACTGAAGTATAGCTTTCTTGATCTGTAAATTTGATAGTAACAAACAGTCTTACTCAAGTTGGAAAAAGTTTGGCTTGCTGCTAGAGACTCTGTCTATCTCTAGGTGGATATTGATCCATGAAAGAGCATTCTTTGGATATGATGTTAATCCTACAAAAAGAAAGGAAAAAGTTTCAAATTTGGCCATTCTGAGGTGAAACTGACTTTAGACTTCTGGCAGTCAAGAATTGTGAAAGGAATTTTGAGGAGTATAGTTCGGTAATAGTCTTAAACTGTATATCCTTTATGAAATCATCATAAGATAGCATGTGTTTTCACTATATTAAGTAGTATTCAGAGCTTTAAAACATTACCCAACATCTTTTTTTGATTCATCAATGAAAACAAATGCCTTGAGTTCTTTTGAGTAATGTCAAGTCTGTGTTCTGTACATTCATTCTGTTTAATTTTGAGTTAATTCAGAAGTTAGTTCAAATTAAATAAACACATGAAAATTGTTAACTCCATAAGATGCAGATTTAACTGGAATTCTGAATGAGTCCTCTTAAACCTTGTAACAATTATGAAAATAATAAGAAGAAGACAGAAAAGCTACCATATTTTGAAAGAAGAAAAACATTTGCTAACCCTGTTAATTTGGGTGTTACAGGTTGCAAAGTTAAATGATGCTGAAAAGGAACTCTCTGAGATTTCTGAGAAACTGAAAGCCTCAAGCAAAGGTAAGTTAATGACCCATTAAACAAGTATGTATTGGGCGTCTACCATATGTAGTTCTCTCTGCCAGCACTGAGCCTAGTTAATAAGATATACAGAACATGGAGTCTTTCTAAGGAGCAACATAGCATCTTGGAACTAGAAAGAACATTGTAAGTTATTTGTTTTAAACTCTTTATATAATAGATGAGGAAAATGAAGCCCATTGAGGCAAAATGATGTCCCGAGGTCTTTAAGCTATAACCTGTTTTCTTATTCCTTTTTTTTTTTTTTTAAAGATTTTATTTATTTGACAGAGAGAGATACAGTGAGAGAGGGAACACAAGCAGGGGGAGTGAGAGAGGGAGAAGCAGGCTTCCCGTGGAGCAGGGAGCCCGATGCGGGGCTTGATCCCAGGACTCTGGGATCAGGACCTGAGCCGAAGGCAGATGCTTAACCGACTGAGCCACCCAGGTGCCCCTGTTTTCTTATTCCTGATATGAGTAATGTTCTCTGCCCAGCTTTATGTTAGTGACTTAAAAAAAAAAAAGATTTATTTATTTATTTGAGAGGGATAGAGTGTGCAGTGTGGGGGGAGGGCAGAGGGAGAGAGAGAGAATCCCAAGCAGACTCCCTGAGATCATGACCTGAGCTGAGGTCAAGAGTTGGACGCTCAAGTGACTGAGCCACCCAGGTGCCCCTGTTAGTGACTTTTCTATGGAAACTTTGGCTGAATTTTAAAATATTTGAGGCCAATTTTCTGAATATATATTATCCCTTTCTTGGACAGCTCTGTCAGAGTCACCATCTCAGGACTCTTTAGATGCATTTATGTCAGAAATGAAATCAGGGAGTGCATTGGATGGTGTGTCCCGGAAGAAACTCCACCTGAGAACTTTTGAACTGAGGAAAGAACAACAGAGACTTAAAGGGTTGATAAAAATTGTAAAGCCAGCAGAGATTCCAGAGCTGAAAAAGTAAGTCTTAGTTATACTTGAAATTTTAAATAAACATGTTTGCATAGATAATATTTTTAATTATATAGTTGTTTTCTTAGATAATCATTACAGAATAGAAATAGAATGTAAGAGGCAGTGATTTCATACAGTCAAAACCATTTCATTTGTGAAATATAGACTGCTGTAGGATTTTTAGAGAAAACTATATTGATTCCTGTTTCATTGGAAGGCTCTGAATTTTTTTTTTTTTAAGATTTTATTTATTTATCTGACAGAATGAGAGAGCACAAGCAGGGGGAGCAGCAGAGGGAGAGGAAGAAACAGGCTTTCTGCTGAGCAGGGAGACTGATGCAGGGCTCGATCCCAGAACCCTGGGATCATGACCTGAGTTGAAAGCAGACGCTTAACAGATTGAGCCACCCAGGCGCCCCAAGGCTCTGAATTTTTTACTTAATCTTTTTTTTTTAAGATTTTATTTATTTATTCATGAGAGACAGAGAGAGAGAGAGAGGCATAGGCAGAGGGAGAAGCAGGCTCCTCGCTGAGCAAGGAGCCCGATGTGGGACTTGATCCCAGGACTCTCGGATCATGATCTGAGCCAAAGGCAGACGCTCAACCGACTGAGCCACCCAGGTGCCCACCCCCCCGCCTTTTTAAAAAATTTTATTTATTGAATTTTTTACTTAATCTTTTAATGCAGAGTAAACTTCTTTAAAGAGAAACATGCCAAAAGGCTAATTTCCCTAATATATAAAGACCTTTGAATAAGTAGACAACCATCTACCGAAGAAAAAAATGGGAAAAGGATATCAACTGACAAGCCACTGAAAAAGAAATACAAATGGCTCTTAACTATTTAAAAAAAATGCTCAATCTTGCTTATAAGAGGAATACAAATATAATAATGTAATACCATTTTTTAATCTATGATTTTAAAACCACAGATGAAAATATGTGAGTGCAGATTATTTTAGCACCTGATTTGTAATTCCTAAGAACCAGTTGACAATTTTAATATATTTAAATACTTTTTTTAAAAGATTTTATTTATTTATTTATTTGAGAGAGAGAGAGAGAACACAGCAGGGGAAGGAGCAAAGGGAGAGGGACAAGCAGACTCTGAGCTGAGCACAGAGCCCGATCAATGCAGGGCTCGATCCCACAACCCTGAGATCATGACCTGAGCTGAAATCAAGAACTGGATGCCCAACTGACTGAGCCACCCAGGCGCCCCTATATTTAAATACTTTTAAAGTGGAATTTCTTCCTTTAAAATGGGGGAAGGCATAACCCCTTAAAGTTGATTTTATTGGTTAACTTTGATTTTGTGAAAATTATTGGAAGAAATTAACCTAATCCTTTTTTTTTTAGTAATTTGTGAACAAGATTTTGGGACTAATTTTTCCCAGATTTGGCTAGTATTTGTGAGTGTGTGAATGTATGTGGTGTGTGTGTGTGTGTGTGTGTGTGTGAGAGAGAGAGAGAGAGAGAGCATAAGATCCAATCTTTCAATTTGACATTATTTTCACATTTTGTTCTATGTGGTCTCAACAAATTTTGAAAATGTTGAGTAGGTTATTGTGGAAATGAGCAACTCCCAGTGAGCACAATTCAGGTAGGCATTTCAAAAAGTGGTATTGCCTAGGTGGCATCACTCACTTATGAAGGTAATTAACTCTGGAGAGTTTCTTATTTTCTTTTGATCTGTGCTGGCCTATACAGCACCCAGTAGTCTCCTGTGATATTAAAATTAAATGAAATTAAAAACTCAGTTCTTCAGTCAAGTAGTCCCATTTCATGTCCTCAATAGCCATATGTGGCTAGTGGTTACTATATTGGACAACGCAGATGTAGAACATTTCCATTATTGCAGAAAGTTCTGTTTGGATAGTGCTCCTTTAAGTAGGTTCAGCCTGGAGCCCAATGCGGGGCTTGAACTCACCACCTTGAGATCAAGACCTGAGCTGAGATCAAGAGTTGGCTGCTTAAACAACTGAGCCACCAGGTGCCCCATGGACAGTGCTACTTTATTTTTTTAATTTTTTTATTTTATTATGTTAATCACCATACATCACATCATTAGTTTTTGTGTTTAGTGTTTAGTGTTAGTTTAGTGTTCCATGATTCATTGTTTGTGTATAACACCCAGTGCTCCATTCAATACGTGCCCTCTTTAATACCCATCACCAGGCTAACCCATCCCCTTACCCCCCTCCCCTCTAGAACCCTGTTTGTTTCGCAGAGTCCATAGTCTCTCATGGTTTGTCTCCCCCTCCAATTTCCCCCCCTTCATTTTTCCCTTCCTACTATCTTCTTTTTTTTAACATATAATGTATTATTTGTTTCAGAGGTACAGGTCTGTGATTCATCAGTCTTACACAATTCACAGCAGTCACCATAGCACATACCCTCCCCAATGTCTATCACCCAGCCACCCTATCCCTCCCACCACCCACCACTCCAGCAACCCTCAGTTTGTTTCCTAAGATTAAGAATTCTGATATCAGTGAGATCATATGATACATGTCTTTCTCTGATTGACTTATTTTGCTCAGCATAATACCCTCCAATTCCATCCACGTCATTGCCAATGGCAAGATTTCATTCCTTTTGATGGCTGCATAATATTCCATTGTATATATATACCGCACCTTCTTTATCCATTCATCTGTCGATGGACATCTTGGCTCTTTCCATAGTTTGGCTATTGTGGACATTGCTGCTATAAACATCAGACAGTGTTACTTTAGATTGTCAGTAAGCATTTATGTAGCCACTTAGCACTGTGTACAAAACCTGTAATTTAATGCTGGGGGCATTGCATAGATGAATATCTAGATATTGGGAGGCATCTTTTTTTTTTAATAGAGATGTAAAGACAAAATGTTTCTGGAGCCCTTGATCATCTGTACAGAAAATTAATCCCCAAGTTACTAGCAGGTTTGTTAAAAGATTTATGTGTAGTTTGGATATTTCATACAGTGATTCATAGGTCAGTTCACAAAAGCTATGACCCAAGTGGTATTTCATTTACTGATAGTAAGGAGGGGGGTTAGCACTCAAGTTAGACTCCCTGGCTTTCATTCTCAGCTCTATGAATTACTTTTTGGGCATTTTGAGGCAAGTTATGTAATTTCTTTGACCTTTGCTTTCCTCTGTAAATTAGAAGTACAGGTGATGTTGAAAGATGACATGAATAGGGGTGCCTGGGTGGCTTAGTCAGTTGGGCATCCGACTTTTGGTTTTGGCTTGGGTCATGATCTTGGGGTTGTGGGATCAAGCCCCATGTTGAGCTCTGCACTTTCTCTCCCTCTGCCCCTCCCCCTGCTCATGTGCTCTCTCTCTAATGAAATAAAATAAAATCTTTAAAAAGGAAAAGATGACATGAATAGCACTTGACAAAGTGCTGGCGTATATGTATTACTGTTGTCATCATTGTCCTATTTCTGCTACATCTAGCAGCTATTCGCAATGTCATATTTATGGAGAAAGGATAAAAACTCCTGAGGCATAGTTCAGGGTAAACAAACAGTGAGTTTTAATTCTAACTCCAAAATCCTTTCTCTTGATAAGTCATCCCTGCAAGAGAGGGTATGTCAGCTTCCTCCAGAGCCTCCCTTCTTGCTGTGTGTCTGCTTAGTTTCACCTCCCTTTCCTACTTTAGATCCTGGCCTTTAGATGTGTGTACCTTCTCCCTCTCTTCTCACTTGAGGGTTGAACTTTCAAACTTTCTACCTAACATCTTTTCCCACTAAGCCAAGCAGCTCTTGATTGTGATCCATCTTCTGCCTTTTTGTCTCCTTGGGGTGTCTTTGCTTGTCCTGCAGACCAGCCAAGCTATTTAATGGAGCTGAAAAATATCTGTGTTGCTCTTCACTTTGTCTTTGAGGCCTTTGGGGAGGGGCTGTGAAGGATAATATTTAAGGCCAAGCAGGCAGGATTCTGCTGGTGGCCTTAGCAAGGCAATGGGTCTGTCTGTGGTAGAGAGCAAGGGGGTGAGGCTAGGCCCAAGAGCACTGCTGAGAGGGTAAGAAGAAGAAGGCACAGTGGCAAATAGGGCTTTAGCTGGAGCAGCGAGGTCAGTTTCTTGTCTGGGTCACTGTGCATCAGGCGTGCCAGCGCTCTCCCCGTATTCCAGAATGCAGGACTGTCCTTCCCTCTGTCTCCTCATGCTGCCTACTCTCTGAGTGTCTGGTTAACTCAACTGCCATCCTTTTTGGTTTTGCTCATTTCTTTTTTCACCTGGCTCTTTCCTAATTTCTACTATCTCTTCTCTTTGCTCTTCCTCAGCTTTACCCGAGTGGGCTTAGCTGTTATAACTCTGTTCAGCCAGTGAGATTGGTGACAAGCTCATCAGTTGTAAGGTCTCTCATTATGTCTTTGTCATTATTCACCATGCAGTATAGCCCCTACACACACACTTTTTTTTTTTTTTTTAAACTTTTGTGATCAGAGCCTTTGTGTGTGGTATGATGTCAGTGTGGACTCCAGATAAGTAAGACACTGTGAGTCCTCTTGAGAGATTGGTGGAAAATAGGGCTTTACCCCATGGATCTATCTCCTACCACTCAGTGGGAATGGGGTCTTGCCCCCAAAGATAGTGATCTTTGTACTATCAGTATCAGTTTATGAAGGTGAAGTCAGGTAGCATGCTGCAACTTACTAAAGTTGGAGCCTCATCTTGCCCTTAATAGCCCTGTGTCTCTCAGAGTCAGCAGTGTCATTGTCCATTCAGATTCTCTTGGCCTTCCCTATTAATATATGCTTCGGTACTCATTTTGTGAAAATTTTTGTTTTGCCAAAAGTTTCTTTGTCATTGTCCAGGGTGTTTTTAGAAAAAATCTTGGCTTCACTGGAATAGATATGTACAATTCTTCTTTCTTCTTAGGACTGAAAGTCAGCCTACAGATGTGGAAAACAAAGCTAAAAAGCTTACGTTGCCTCTCTTTGGTGCCATGAAAGGAGGAAGCAAATTCAAATTAAAAACGGGAACAGTAGGGGTAAGTTGGGGGTCATGGTGTTAAACTTTTAGCTCTCGAGTCAATTTGCATGTAACTGATTTGTACATTGAACATCAATTTATTAATTTGTGATGAATGTCGCATTTAAGAAGTGTCTCTTTTCCTGGTGGGTGGATATTGTAACATTTGGACTCAGCTAACATTTGCTAGTCATATAGTCCCTGCACCTGGCCCTGCCATACGGCCTTCCACACTTCATTTACTCCCTCCAACACTTCATGACATGTGGGAATTATTACCTCTCACAGGTGAGGAAGCGGGTTCAGAGAGGTTAAATATGAGATCACATCATCAATAAGTGACTAGACTGGCAATCAAATCCAGGTCCTCGGTTTCTTGAGTTTTGTGATCTCTCTGCTGTCCTCTAACACTTCACTGGTGAATGTTTTTGCTTTGCGTACAACCCTCTTCACAGATTCAGCTTTTAAAAGGTCTTCATACCTAAAGAGCTGAACCTTGTATAGTAGTGTGTGAGGGCTGCCCTAACCAAACACCACAGACTGGGTGGCTTAAATGACAGAAATTTATTTTCTCACAATTCCAGAGGCTGGAAGTCCAAGATCAGCATGCCAGCAGGGTTGGTTTCTGCTGAGGTCCCTTTCCTTGGCTTGGAGGTGGCCGCCCTCTTCCTGCATCTTCCTGTGGTCATCCCTCTGTGCACTTGCACCTGTGGTGTCTCCCCCTCCTCTTATAAGAAAATCAGTCATCTTGGATTAGGGCCCCACTCTAACTGCTTTCTTTTAACTTACCTCTAAAAATTTTACCTCTAAATGTGGTTACATTCTGAGGTACTGGGGGTTGGGACTTCAACCTATGAATTTTGTGGGGACAGAATTCAGCCCCCAGCACCTTGAATTAGGGCAAACTCAGGTTCACCTGAGATGCAGGCTTTTCTGTGAGGGTGGGGAGAGCAGGTACTTGTGTTTTAGTTAGAGGGAAAACTCTTTACTAAAAAGCTCTCTTTAGAGGTTTACTGAATTCAATCCTATATTTTATTTATTTATTTATTTATTTATTTATTTATTTATTTATTTATTTATTAAAGATTTTATTTCTTTATTTGAGAGAGAGAAAGAGAGAGAGCACATGAGAGGGAGGAGGGTCAGAGGGAGAAGCAGACTCCCTGCTGAGCAGGGAGCCCGATGCGGGACTCGATCCCGGGACTCCAGGATCATGACCTGAGCCGAAGGCAGTCGCTTAACCAACTGAGCCACCCAGGCACCCCAATCCTATATTTTAAAAATGATATGCCCAGGGCACCTGGGTGGCTCAGTTGGTTAAGCGACTGCCTTCGGCTCAGGTCATGATCCTGGAGTCCCGGGATCGAGTCCCGCATCGGGCTCCCTGCTCAGCAGGGAGTCTGCTTCTCCCTCTGACCCTCCTCCCTCTCATGTGCTCTCTCTCTTTCTCTCTCTCAAATAAAGAAATAAAATCTTTAAAAAAAAAAAATTATATGCCCAACATATACTTTGGTACTTTCTCTCTATCCCTTAAGCTTCAATCAACTTTTTCTAATAATTTTATTAAAAGGTCTTGATTAAAATATTTGGCTTTATTCTTTAAGAAATGTCTTCAGGGGGCGCCTGGGTGGTGCAGTCGGTTGAGCGTCCAACTCTTGGTTTCAGCTCAGGTCGTGATCTCAAGGTTGTGAGATTGAGCTGCGGGTCTGGCTCCACGCTCAGTGCAGAACCTGCCTGAGATTCTCTCCCTCTCCCTCTGCCCCTCCCCCCTGCTCTCTCTCTTTCTGTCTCTCTCTCTAAAATAAATAAATAAATCTTAAAAGAAAAAAAAAAAGAAAATGTCTTCAGGATCTGTTTTACTGATTTACATGTCTCCTTTCTTTGAAATTGTGTTAAATCTAAAATGAAAAAGCTGCACAAATGATCTGTTTCTCAGAAATGTGTATCTGATTTACCCCTGGAAGATTTTGTGATGAATTAAGACCCTTTAACACCACGAGGGGTAACAGGACAGAATTCCTGCAGCTGGTACCTGCAATAAATGTTTTAGTTCCCCACAAGCTGTTTCAAGTGACTCGTACTTAATATTCTTTTGACCCTAGAAACTAATAAAGATACATGTTAAAGGTCCATAGATGAGTAAAATTTCATGTGCGAGTCCTACTTCCAGCAGACTTCTGCAGGGTCCATCAGCCTGGAGAGGTTAGACATTTTACACATTTAGCTTAATTTCCTTGAAGAGATTTGTCCCTATCATTATGTGGAACTATTTGTTCATGGTTTTGTTTCATTCATAGAAGTTACCCCCTAAGCGTCCAGAACTCCCTCCAGCTCTAATGAGAATGAAGGATGAGCCTGAAGTAGAAGAGGAGGAGGAGGAAGAGGAAGAGGAAGATGAGAGGGAAAACGAGGGGGATGAAAGGGGAAAAATGGAGGCTGGAAGCAGTAGGCTGCAGCAGGAGACAGAGCCGGAAGATGCAGTGCAGGAAGCGAGGCCTGCCACTGACCTCATGTGTTCTAAAGAGACAAAAACCCATGGTAATATCTTTCTTCTCCTTCCCGTGCTGTTCAGTGGGGCATTTGCATTGATTGTGCACAGGTTTGAAAAGCAAAGCCAGTTCTTGCTTGTGCATTTTGACTTTGTGGCACTTTATGATATGTGATACCGCTGACTCTGGAAACATACTTTCTTGGTCTTTCTTTGACCGTCAGTCATTATTTATCCTCATTGCAAAATCAGAGCAGGCATTTCCAGTGTATTCTAGAATTACAGAACATTGAAAGCTGTGGAATCTGAAACCACAGCTGCTGTGGAACAGCCCTGAGCTGCCTCCATTGTGTGACTGGAGGGCAGTAGAAGAGGGTGCGTGATGGGGCCTGATCAGGTAAACCTCCCCTTAGTCATTATTTTCCCATCTCTAAAACAGAGGCTAAGCATAATTGTGTCCTCGGTACACACTTCTTAGGAAGCACAGTGCCTTATTCATCTTTTTGTCCATGGTACCTAGTGGACAACCTGGCACACAGTACTCACCCAGCTCAGCCAAGGTTTGATGACAAATGACAAAAGAGGGAATTGATTGGTTTTTAAATATGTTTTCTTCTGGGCGCCTGGGTGGCTCAGATGGTTAAGCGTCTGCCTTCGGCTCAGGTCATGATCCCAGGGTCCTGGGATCGAGTCCCGCATCAGGGTCCCTGCTCCTTGGGAGCCTGCTTCTCCCTCGGCCTCTCTCTCTCTCTCTCTCTCTCTGTCTCTCATGAATAAATAAATAAAATCTTTAAAAAAAAAAAGTTAAATATGTTTTCTTCTGATTGTAAGAGGAAGGTGTATTCATTTTAGAAACTTTGGATCATATGTAAAAGTCCAAAGAAGAAAAGAGAAATCTCCTGCAATCTCACCCCCAGAGATCATTGTTCATCTTTTCAGTATCCTCTTGTCCCTTGTCAGCTGCAGGAGTTATTTTCCTGCAGGGTGTTAAGACTTCACAGAAAATAGGGAGCATGAGGAAAAACAAAACAAAAACTGACATTAAATATGCATGGGAATGCATGCATGTCTACTTCCAAAACAAATCCGATTTGTCTGCATAAAGTGCCAGGCCTGGTATGGAGGCCTTCTCTTGATTCATCCTCAGTTGTTTGAGAAAAGAAAAGTTTCTGTTTTTTTCATCTGTGAGAGATCTTTTGTTTTTGCATTTTCCTTTGTTTAGTTACTGGCAAAATGCTTAGCCTTTTCCAACAAGATACTTACACGTACTTTTTTTATGAGTCCCATCTTTGATCCATACATTGTGAAGGTGGCATAAACAGGTTAGTAGGAGGGTGAGCAGTAAGTACTTTTTTGTTAAGGGACTAAAGGAAATATATGTGTGTGTAAAAATAGCAGATTTTAAAATTTGGTAAAGATACATTAATGAGTAAATCTGCAGCTGATTAGGGATGACTCTAGGCCTCTTTTTTTTTTTTTTTTCAATGTTAGGATCATATTGTACATGCTATTTTATAACCTGTTTTTTTCTATGTCTTAAAATTTTCTTTTAAAATGTGGAGTCAGTAAGGAGCATAGTGGTCCATCACATGCTTGTGCCATAATTTATTTAATCACCTCCCTGTTGTTAGACCTGTACGTAATTTATTAATTTTTGCTATTCTAAACATATTGTATATATAATAAACCTTGGTACTCATCTGATTATTTTCTTTGAATATGTTCCTGGAAATAGAATTTCTAGGCCAAGGAATATGTACATTTTTTAAGGCTTTTGGTAAGTAGTGCTGAAAAGTTTTACTTCAGAGTTGGCCAGTTTTTAAAGTGGAAAATTGATTTCTCTGTTAAACATATGGAGGCACATTTTTTTGAAAATCTAATTAAGTTTATTGAAGCTAATGATAGTAAAGCTGGATGATTATGTATTTACTTAGCTTTTCTTGCTTTTGTTTTTGTTTTCTTCGTTCCCCACCATGAATTAAATAATAACAATATGCTCTGGTTCTGCATTTTATAGAAAACATGTCTAAACTCAGCCAAGTGGAACAGAATAAAGATTATCAAGAGATCAGTGAAACAGCTGCATCATGTGAGGAACCCTCAGGCAAGTAATGTAGCCGACTCCATTGCTGCCCTGCACACGAACAACCAGCTGGTGTCAGGCAGGAGGGGTTGGGAGCTGAGCTGAAGCAGCACAGAGAATGGCCTTTCAGACACTGGGCAGACGCTCCTGCCAGGGCCCTGGACAGAACTGGAATATATGAGAGGTTATGTTTGGCGCCATCCCATTTGCCTTTCTTTATTCCTTTCCTACCTCCTGGGGTTCTGTCTCCCTGACCTATAGAATTCCTACTGCCTTCGCGCTTCCCTGGCATGGAAAGCCCTGGCCATGCAAAGCCCTGGCCATGCAAAGCCCTCCCCAACTTTTCATCTCCCAGAGATGAGTCTGCCTATCATGGGAGTGATTCCAAAACTATTAAAATAAATAAAATAAATTGAAAGGACTGGTTTTGGGACACCTGGGTGGCTTAGTTGGTTGAGTGTCTGACTCTTGGTTTCAGCTCAGGTCATGATCTCCTGGGTTGTGGGATTGAACGCTGCATCGGGCTCCGTGCTCAGCACAGAGTCTGTTGGAGATTCTCTCTCTCTGTCCCTCCCCTCACTCATGTTCTCTCTCTCTCAAATAAACAATCTTAAAAAAAAAAAAAGGACTGGTTTTCTACTGTTTTAACTGTAATGGTTGAACTGTAGAATAGTAAAATCAGCCTCATTTTCCTTTCCCTTTTAATTTCTTTATTTTATTTTATTTTAAAGATTTTATTTTTATTTGACAGAGAGAGAGCACAAGCAGGGGGAACAGCAGGCAGAGGGAGAGGGAGAAGCAGGCCCCCTGCTCGGCAGGGAGCCCAGTGTGGGGCTTGATCCCAGGACCCTGAGATCATGACCTGAGCCGAAGGCAGGTGCTCAACCATCTGAGCCACCCAGGTTCCCCTCCTTTCCCTTTTTAAATGGTGTGATTATATTCAAGCTTGTAGAACAGCCTTAGGATTTGAAAACTAGGGTTATTAGCAGAGAGAAAGTTCTCTTAAGATAGTCTTTATAGTAGAAGGAATTTTTGAGAATTTGATTGTTACATGTTTTCTTCAATTTTTATAATGCTCTCTTAGGAGGAATTTGTTTTTTTCTATTTTACTTATTCTGAAATAGCTATTGCGTCTTGTTTTTCTTTTTCTCAAATTAGCATCAGAGAATGAATATGAGAAAAACAGAGATGAATTGAAGAAAAAGAAAGCTCCTGGTCCAGGCAAAGTAAGTACTTTAGCCATAATCTTCACCTCTCTAGAAGTAAAAGTGGATCCCCTTGTCATAGACCACATTCAGAAGAGTGAATTTTTAAGGATTGTCTTAGCAGAGTTCCCAACTGCCTAATACTCCCTTTTCTAGAAGTCTGGGCTCTCTTTTATTTTTGAATTTTTATGTTTTGAATCCTCTCTTCTTTTCTCCATCCACACAGTTCCCTATAACTCCACATATACCTCTTTGATTAATTATCAATCTTTGTTCCTATCCTTTTATGCCGTACAAAGACATTTTAAAGTTTTAAAGATTTATTTATTTATTTATTTGACAGAGAGAGACACAGTGAGAGAGGGAACACAAGCAGGGGGAGTGGGAGAGGAAGAAGCAGGCTTCCTGCGGAACAGGGAGCCTGACGCGGGGCTCGATCCCAGCACCCTGGGATCAGGACCCTGGGATCATGACCTGAGCGGAAGGCAGATGCTTAATGACTGAGCCACCCAGGCGCCCCTGAATAATATATTCTTATTTGACTATTTTTATTACACAGAAGATAGAATGTAATGTGCTGTATTCTACATCAGGATTTATTTTTTTTAACTTATTGTGGAAATCACTGTGTATCAGTATAACAAGAGCTTCCTACTGTACGGATGTACTCCACTTAACCAGTTCCCTATAGGTGGACACTTGGGTTGTTTCTAGTCTTTTATTATAACAGTGCTATAATGAATAATCTTGTGTATACATAATTTTGTGTGGATACAGTAAGTTCCCAAAAGTGGGATTGCTAGATTGTGTCAGGAGGTCCCAAGACCCTCAGGCTAGGTAATTCACAGGAGGCCTCACAGGACTCAGCCTGTGGTTGTACTCATAGCTATGATTTACTAGAGTAAAAGAATACCAAGTACAGTCAGCAAAGGGAAAAGGCACGTGGAGCAAAGTCTGAGGAAACCAGGCGTAAGCTTCCAAGAGTCCTTTTTCATTGGAATCACACAGAATGTGCTTAATTCCCCTAGCAATGAGTTGTGACAGTTTATGAAATGTTACTAACCAGGGAGGCTCATTAGAGACTCAGTGCCCAGGATTTTTATTGGGGACTGATCACATAGGCACCTTCTGCCTGGCATGCCCTCAAATTCCATTCTCCCAGAAGGAAAGTAGATGTTCAGCATGAACCATATTGTTTTTATAGACATTGTAGGCATAGTAAGCCACTTTTATCAGGGTAGTAGGAACCCTCCAGAAATCCAAGTCCCCAGATACCAGGCGAGGGCCAACCTTGTAAACAGGCCTTTCAAAGGATAGCAGTCAGACTTGCCCTGTTAACTCTTTTCTGCACCTAGATCAAAAGACAGATTCCAAATTTCCCTCTGTGGGGGTTATACCATTAGAACTCATACCTCTGTTAACAGCCCCTTTTAGAAAACATCACCTCACTCTCACTGGCTGAAAATCAGCTTGTTGTGGCTTTACGGCAAAAAGTCAAGGTTCAGAAAGAGAGTGTTCCCCCATTTTTTGGTTACTTATGTTAAGGTAATTAATGGAAGCTTTTCTCTTAGTTTTTATTTGCTGACAGGCATAGGGACAATGATTCTTAGGGTTAAAATTCTTTAGAGTAAAATTCTTTTCTTTGCAGCTTCCAGCAACACTTTCCTCCAAATATCCAGAAGATGACCCAGACTACTGTGTGTGGGTCCCACCTGAAGGTAGATTGTTTTTATTACTTTTCTTCTCTTCTAAGACTTAATTATTTATATTTCTGAATAGGTAATGTATATTTAAGGTTCAAAATAAGAAAGTTTTTATGAGTATATAGTGGGATGGGGCACCTGGGTAGTGCAGTTGGTTAAGTGTCCAACTCTTGATTTTAGCTCAGGTTGTGATCTCAGGGTTGTGAAATTGAGTCCCATGTTGGGCTCCTCGCTCAGTGCAGAGTCTGTTTGGGATTCTCTCTCCCTCTGCCCTTCCCTCCCATTCACTCGTGCTCTCTCTTTCTCTCTCTAAAATAAATAGGGGTGCCTGGGTGGCTCAGTTGGCTAAGCGTCTAACTTTGGCTCAGGTCATGATCTCAGGGTCCTGGGATCGAGCCCCACATTTGGCTCCCTGCTCAGCAGGGAGTCTGCTTCTCCCTCTCCCTCTACCACTTCCCCTGCTTGTGCTCTTTTTCTCTCTCTCTCTCAAATAAATAATCTTTAAAAAAAAAAAAGTCATTTTTTTAATCTTAAAAAAAGTCTTTTTTTTTTCAATCTTAAAAAAAAAGTCTTTTTTTTTTTAATCTTAAAAAAAAAGTATGTAGTGGGAAAGTTCTCCCTTCTAGGGGAACAGGTAGAGTAAAAGATCTGAAGAGACATATCGACCAAATATAATTTGTGGATTCTACTTGAATCCTTATTTGAATAAACAACTATTAAAAAATTATATACCAGGGCGCCTGGGTGGCTCAGTTGGTTAAGCGACTGCTTTCGGCTCAGGTCATGATCCTGGAGTCCCGGGATTGAGTTCCACATCGGGCTCCCTGCTCAGCAGGGAGTCTGCTTCTCCCTCTGACCCTCCTCCCTCTCATGCTCTCTGTCTCTCATTCTCTCTCTCGCAAATAAATAAAATCTTAAAAAAAAAAAAAATTATATACCAGTCAGATAATTTTGAACACTAGCCAGATATGTGATGATACTAGGAAATTATTAATTATTTTAAAGTGTGGAATGATGTTATGTTTTTTAGAAAAAGTCCTTATCTTCTAGGACTGTGTACAGAAGTGTTCACAGATGGAATATATGGGATATGCCTTAACATAATCCTATAGAAGTAGAGGATGAGGGGCGCCTGGGTGGCTCAGTTGGTTAAGCGACTGCCTTCGGCTCAGGTCATGATCCTGGAGTCCCGGGATCGAGTCCCGCATTGGGCTCCCTGCTCAGCAGGGGGTCTGCTTCTCCCTCTGACCCTCTTCCCTCTCGTGCTCTCTGTCTCTCATTCTCTCTCTCTCAAATAAATAAATAAAATCTTTGAAAAAAAAAAGAAGTAGAGGATGAGGGAGCGTGGAGGGGGTAATAGATAAAGCAGGACGTGTCACATATTGATAGTTGTTTTAGCTGGGTGATGAGTACATGGAGATTCATTATATTTTTTTCTTTACTTCTGCATGTCTTTTAAATTTTCTTTAAAGTTATAAAAACAGGGATGCCTGGGTGGTTCAGTCGGTTAAGCGTCTGCTTTTAGCTCAGATCATGATCCCCGGGTCCTGGGATCGAGTCTTGCATCGGGCTCCCTGCTCAGCGGGGAGCCTGCTTCTCTCTCTGCCTGCTTCTCTCTCTGCTTGTGCTCTCTCTCTCTCTGACAGATAAATAAATAAAATCTTAAAAAAAAAAGTTATAAAAACAACAACTACTGGCTCTGCCTCAGCTACTTGGTGCCAAATATCACTTTCTTGTGACTTCTTATATATGTCACATAAAATGCTTGTGTGAGCAATTAAATACATAATATTTCACTGTTGTTTTTACACAAATAGAAGCATATTCTATAACTTGCTGTTTTGCACTTAACACTATGGAGATCTTTCTATAGCTATAGATTCCTTCTTCCCTCCCTCCCTCCCTTCCCTCCTTCCTTCACCTTTACTTTTTATTCCATTCCCTCAATGAATATATGCTGTGTTTCCAATTTTGCCATTACAAACAACTCTGCATGTAGGGGAAGGGGTTGGGGGCTGGGGTAACTGGGTGATAGACATTAAGGAGGGCATGTGATGTAATGAGCATTGGGTGTTACATAAGACTCATGAATCACTGACCTCTGCCTCTGAAACTAATAATACATTATATGTTAATTAATTAAAAAAACAACTCTGCAATAAGTAACCTCAAACATAATACTTTTGCAAGTATAGAGATGCATATGTAGAAAAAATCATAAAAGTTAACATGCTGGATCAGAGGCTATAAACATTTTTAAGACATTATAAATTGCATTCTGTAGAGGGGGTACAGCTTATGTTCATACATACACTCTTAAGGCAATATATGAGATGCTTGTTCCCCATATGCTCATCACAGATTGCTTTTTCTATGGATCAGGTTTCTAGTATACTAGTAGTTAATAGAAATTTTGTTACTAGAAATGTTTGCTTTTTATTGGCTAATAAATATAAAGGTAGAAATGGAAAGAGAACCAAATTTTGAAATTGTATGCAAAAAGGCAGAGTTCTAGAATAGAAGAAACCTCTTTTGTCTGTTTTACTTTTTAGCCCACTAATGTCTGGGTATCTTTTCCCTCCTGACTTTGGAAAAGTGAATGTGTTTCTTTCTTTATACTCTGATCTAGGCCAAAGTGGAGATGGCAGGACCCATCTGAATGACAAGTATGGCTATTGACTGCTTCAGAATCCTAAAGGAAGACCTTGTGGACCATGTGACATGGGATATGTAGGGTCCTATATCAAGTTGAATGTCCAGAGAAGGAGTTCAGGTGATCTTTTGTAAAATCTGGTGACTGGCCTTTTCTTCCATTCTCATGGCTCCCTAAATTTATCTACTCATCTGATTCTCGTTTAAAAGTGTTTGTGTATGTATGTAAAAAGAAACCATATATTTTGAGAATTGGTAAAGTGAGATATGACTCTATTAAAAGAGAAGGTGAAGATGTCTCATGTTTGCTTAAGGCCACAATGTCTTTCATTAAGTTTTAGGGACTATGCTTCTCCTGAGGAATAGGGTGCTTCTGGCAGCTAGACTTTAGGCTTCACTCATAGGGCCTCCTCAAATAAGTGTTCAAATATGAGGTCATGCCATAGTGTGACCCTGGGTGTCCCTGTCATTCCTGGAACTAAAAGTAGATACAGGGCGCCTGGGTGGCTCAGTTGGTTAAGCGACTGCCTTCGGCTCAGGTCATGATCCTGGAGTCCTGGGATCGAGTCCCACATCGGGCTCCCTGCTCGGCAGGGAGTCTGCCTCTCCCTCTGACCCTCCCCCCTCTCATGCTCTCTCTATCTCATTCTCTCTCTCAAATAAATAAATAAAATCTTTAAAAAAAAAAAAAAAAGTAGATACAGAGTGGGGGCTTCCTCCTCCCTCCCACTGTAATCCTTCTGCCAGGTTTGAGAACAGACCCTGATTTATCAGGACGCAGTTCAGGACCATAGTACACCTCGTGCACTCAGGCACCAGTCCTGATAAAAACTCAGTCCTTTGAATGTCCTGGACTCTGACCAGTCAGATTAGTCACTCCTTCTCCTGTGGAAAGGTGCAAATAGGGTCATAGAATGAAAAGCTGGATGTGTTCTGTCCATTGTGGGGCTTCTCACTTCTGTGGAGAGGAGAATAAAAGTTCTTTCTCTCTGGAAACACAAAGAAATGTGAGAAGATGTCTTATCTCCCCCAGTGTACCCTCTCCCCACCCCAACATTAGTGAACGCCCCACTTCCACAGGGAATGAAAGCCTAAGAGTGGAAGCAAGGTGGAGAGTTTGTGGATTAGGCAGGAGGCAGACCCAGTGAGCAGGCAGGATAAACTCTGTGGCCCAGCAAGAGAGTGGATGAGGGTGATGTTTTCTTTTTTTTTTTTTTATATGGTGTGTGTGTATATATATATTTTCTTCATTATATGGTATACGTGAAGTAAGCAAGGAGTAGTAATGAGAAACTTCAGAACTCCCTGACAGATGTGGGAAGTCTGGTCTTCTGAAAGTGATGCCTTTCATTTCTCAAAAAACAATACCAATATTGGTATTATGAGAAACTACTATTTAGGACTTCATTTAGACCAACAGGGAAGAACTTGATGTAAGAAGTGACTGGAATTCAGGGGCAGAGTGACCATCTTGGATTGAAACAGTAAGCAAAGGTCCAAGCCATGTCAGTGGTCCTCAAAGGTGGAACTCTTTATTCAGGCAAAATCATATGTGGGATCCATAGGTTTGAACAGGTAAAAATATATCTACTCTGGTTAAGTGTGGGCACGGAAATGGGATCGATAGATACATTCCCGCATGCATCCTCTCCATCTTCCCTCATGGTGTTCCTAAGGAATCCTAGGGGCTCACAGAGCAGAGTCTATTTAGGAAGGCAGATTTCTAAGTGTTCTGGAGACCCCGAAAGCAAATAGGACTCCATATGCCAAAATAAAACATAAATATGTCACTTGTACAATGAACATCAGTGGTTGGTGGACTTGGTTGAAAAGATGTGTGCAGGAGTCTTAGCTCCCTTTACCAAATAGGAGACTTTGGGGACATGACTTAAATCCCCTGAGGCTCAGTTCTGTCATGTGTGAAGCAGGGACAGTAATGCTTCCTGCTCTTTGAACCTCAGATTTGTTCTAAGGATCAAATGAGATAATGTAGAGGGATGTGCTATATAGGGCTTTGTAGGCATTAGTAGTTGTCACTCATTACAAACAGGAGACAAATCCTGACCTGTGGGCCTGCTCCTCATCTGTGAGACAGGAGACTGGATGAAATCAATGACTCTCAACTGTGGCTGCATATTAGAATCACCTCTGGAAATTTGTTAAGTTTTTCATTTTGATGCTTGGGTCCCCCCTTAAATGAGTTTAATCAGAATCTCTGATGTGATCCCTTTTAAAAAGCACACCAGGGGCACCTGGGTGGCTCAGTCATTAGGTGTCTGCCTTCGGCTCAGGTCATGATCCCAGGGTCCTGGGATCAAGCCCCGCATCGGGCTCGCTGCTCGGCAGGAAGCCTGCTTCTCCCTCTCCCACTCCCCCTGCTTGTGTTCCCTCTCTCACTGTCTCTCTCTGTCAAATAAATAAATAAAATCTTTAAAAAAAAAAAAAAGAAAGAAACAGACACACATGGGGGCGCCTGGGTGGCTCAGTCGTTAAGCGTCTGCCTTCGGCTCAGGTCATGATCCCAGGGTCCTGGGATCGAGCCCCGCATCGGGCTCCCTGCTCGGCGGGAAGCCTGCTTCTCCCTCTCCCACTCCCCCTGCTTGTGTTCCCTCTCTCTCTGTGTCTCTCTCTGTCAAATAAATAAATAAAATCTTTTAAAAAAATAAAAAATAAAAAGCACTCCAGGTGATTTTAATGTGCAGCCCAACCTCTACAGCATGGTTAGCAAGCCTTTTTGGTTAATGGCCGGGTACTTCAGGCTTTGCAAGCCGTGCAGTCCCTGTCACAGCCACCCGACCCTGCCGTTGGAGGGCAAATGGCATAGGCAGTACACAAATGGATGAGTGTGGCTGTGTTCCAGTAAATATTTATAAAAACAGGTGGCAGACTTGATTTGGCCTACAGGGTATCATTGGCCAACCGCTGCTCTAGGCTAATTCATCTTCAAGGTCCCATCTGGCTCAAGGTGTTTACAAGAACTTTAAGAAGTAATGTGTGCCCCAGTTCATGGATATTTGATAAGTTTCTATTCAAAAGGCTAATTATACCCTCCTAAACTGGGAGGTTGCAGTTTTATGGTCACCAGAAATCAAGGTAATCCAGTCTCCTTTTCAAAGAAAGAAAAGTAAGGTTTAGTCATTACAAAAAATATGTTACAGCAAGAACACTATCAGTTAACTAAAAGCAAGGTGTCCCTGGTCAGCTGTCCTGGTCTCCCCAGGAGTTCTGTATCACTTCTGCCTTTCTATTTAAAGAGCAGTGGGAAGCCATTTGGGTGTTAGTGATGGTGAATGATCAGATTTGGGTTTTTAAAAGGACACTCAAAGGTACAGTGTGGAGGAAGGAGGGAAGAGGACAAGAGGATGCAGGAAGACAGGTTGGAAGTCTACTATAGAAGTCCAGGTGAGAGATTGTGGCAGCTTGCACTAAGTAGAGATCGAAATGCAAAGAGGTACATAGGGTCCGAGCAATATCTTGAAAAGTGGAGTGGCTGAGACTGAGTGATGGATTGGTGGGAGGAGGGGGTGGAGTCAGAGGAGAATAAAAGTTTAGTTTTGGACAAGTTGAGCTTGATGTTCCATTGAGACATCTAAGTAAAGATGTCACGAAAGCAGCTGGAGACAGCAGACTGGATCTCAGGAGAGAGGGCTGGCGAACAGTCCTGTCTTCCATCTGGTGAGCTTAGGAGTCAGGGGGCACCAGCGGTTGGGGGTTAAAGACTGGGAGGCAGGCAGGAAGTTTGCAGGCCGACTGTAGGCTTGGACAGCTGATTGCCCTTTCTTTGGTATTGGGAGCACTTTTTCTTGGTATGGGGACTCATTTATTGGAGGAAAAAGGTAAAGTAAGTGTCACTGTGAGCAGCATTCTGGAGAAAAAAAAGTCAAGGATATATATTTAACATTAAAACAAGTCTCTTTGTCTGCTTTAGGAAATTTCTAAGGAGTTTGCACAGTGCCTGGTACATTTAAATGTTTGTTGAGTGCCTGCCTTAAATATTTTCCCTGGAATGGCCCCAGTCTAGGATAGGAATTATGAAGCCTCGCTGTCTCCTTGTAGCCCAAGCCTTTACCAGTTACCACTTCACTGGAACTGGATGGAGTTAGCTCTTTTGGGAAATATGACATAATTCCCAACAAACGTTGAGGCTGTTAGCCACCGCCTGGGCATCTGTTGCTTTACCATTGAAATGCTGCCACCTTCCGGATAGGGTGTGACAAGTAGCCAGCAGCTGTGGCCGGCTTCCTGAAAGTGGGAACCAGAGGGAAGCCCGCCAGCCCAGCCCCGAGGTAGTCAAAAGCAGGCATCCAGGCCCCTGGCAGGGGAGCTGTGTTCCCATACAGGGTTTGATCCAACCCTGTTTGGACCCATCCAGGTTTGACAGACTGCTGGGAAATGACATAAAACTCTCCCTGACCTTTGGGAAGTGGGTCACAGCATTAAACTGGCATGGTCTCTTCTGTGACAGGCTGTTCTTTGATCCTGAGATTCCTCACTTGATGTGGGCATTGAGAACAATTTTCAAGATTCTTCTCTGGTCTCAGAGCAGACTTCGCCCTGCTTTGTTTGGTCTTAGAGGTTTGGCACAACCATAATCCAGGGTGGGACTGAGGCTTCCATTCTGTGGGAGACCAGAAGTTTCCCTTCCCCCAGTAAGATGAGGTGGGTTGGAGGGTTCAGCATGGGAGGGGACAGTGGTTCCCACCAAAGGTAGCTCCATTCTCTTCATCCCCCAAGTCAGACTTAACAATTTCTGCATGTAAAGGTTTTAAGATTGATCTCTTAGCTTGCCCACTGCCCTGACCCAAGCTCCCCTCACCCCATGATTCTTCACAGAGCTCCCTTCCTCTTGTCCCTGCCTCATCATGCTCTCCTCCACACATCTGAGTTATCCCTGAGCAGGGTCCTGTGCTCTGAAATCTCAGAGGTTCTTCAGTATCCAAAGGGTGAGGTCCAAATTCATTTGAGGCTTCAAAATCCTTGATTATAGGGTTCTTGTACTTTCTGATCATCATACATCCCATATGCCCTTGTCCCTTCCTTTCTGCCACCTCACCAGGTGTACCTGATACTCTAGTAATAATAGATTATTTCCCCAAACACACTTTTTGCTTTTACTTCTTCCTATATTTTCTATCAAGCCTTGCTGTACATGGCCTTAAGCCTTGGTTTCCTGGTCTATCAAATAGAGAAAATAATGCCTTATAGTATTATGGAGATTAAATAATAGATAACTACAAAACCCTTAGCTGTGCTTGATGTATAATCAGCTCACCCCAAATGTAGCTGCTATTATTATTTTTAAAAAGATTTTATTTATTTATTTGACAGAGAGAGACACAGCAAGAGAGGGAACACAAGCAGGGGGAGTGGGAGAGGGAGAAGCAGGCTTCCCGCGGAGCAGGGAGCCCGATGTGGGGCTCGATCCCAGGACCCTGGGATCATGACCTGAGCCGAAGGCAGACGCCTAACAACTGAGCCACCCAGGCACCCCTAAATGTAGCTATTATTAGTATCATTGTGGTCTTCCTTGTTCATGTCTGTTCATGCCTGTCATTTTTTTAAGTCCAGCTTGAATCTCACTACCTTCAGAAACCCCTGATCCGCATGGTTGTCATGAATCTCTCCTTCCCCACCAGTCTTGTAGCATTTTGTGTTTTACTTCTATGATGTCCCTTACTCCTATGGCCTGATGTCCGTTAATTATATGTATGCTTGGGTTATTTACATTTGTAAGCTTTATGAGTTTTTGAGGATAGGAATTATATATCTTACTTTGTACCCCACCCTTAGCCCATGGCACCAAACAGTTCACAAAATGAGGACTCAGTTTATTGTTGCTTTAAATGAGGGGGGGTTGGAGGTTCTGGTCCTGGCCCTTTCTACTCTTGGGTCTTCTGGGCAGAGAAGGGATACCTCAGAGCTGCCTTCATTTCCAAGATCTTGCTCCAGACAAACTGGACAATCCAGGAACTGACCATTTGATTAGGGTTAATGCAGAGGGCCTGGATTCCTGTCCTACTTGGGGCAAAACCAGGCAGAACTACCCCTTCCCGTCAAAGAGCTCTGGATTCCAGCAGCTGGCTTTAATTTGGGCTTTAAGTCCTCTGCTGGCCCTGGAAAATCTTGATCTTGAGGGTTGGCTCTGGTTTCCAAAGCAGGCTGTCACGCACACCCCTTCAAAAGTCAATGCTGCAGTGTCAGAGAATGGCCACAAGAGGGCAGTAGAGATCCATTACTATGCAGTCAACTTGCACGCTGGGCTGAGAGCAAGAAGAAAATGTTTCAAAGCAGAAGAAAGAGTACAAATCAGAAAAGAAACTCAAGATTCTGAAAGAGTTATAGGTAGCAAGCTGGTTCGGTTCACCAGTGTCTTCCTGGGCCCAAGACCCGAGAGCAGCAAGTTAGTCAGGGATGCTGGTAAGACCCAAATGGTGCTCCTTTAAATCTCTTCCCAACCTGTTGTTGCTGGTGCTTCATTTCACCTTGAGAAAGTAATTCTCTAGTAGTAATGCAAATACTCAATGGAGGAGTTTGGGCATTGCCTATTTAGTACTTACACGCTATATTACAGCTTTATGGTTTGTTTGTTTTTTTTTAAGATTTTATTTATTTGACAGAGACACAGCGAGAGAGGGAACACAAACAGGGGGAATGGGAGAGGGAGAAACAGGCTTCCTGCGGAGCAGGGAGGCTGATGCGGGGCTTGATCCCAGGACCCTGGAATCATGACCTGAGCCGAAGGCAGATGCTTAACGACTGGGCCACCCAGGCGCCCCAGCTTTATGGTTTAAAAAAAATTTTTTTTTATTAACATATAATGTATTATTTGTTTCAGGGGTACAGGTCTGTGATTCATCAGTCTTTCACAATTCACAGCGCTCACCATAGTACTTACCCTCCCCAATTTCCATTACCTAGCCACCCCATCCCCCCCACCCCCCTCCACTCCAACAACCCTCAGTTTGTTTCTCAAGATTAAGAGTCTCTTATGGTTTGTCTCCCTCTCTGGTTTTGTCTTGTTTCGTTTTTCCCCTCCCTTCCCCTATTGTCCTCTGCCTTGTTTCTCAAATTCCTCGTATCAGTGAGATCATATGATACTTGTTTTTCTCTGATTGACTTATTTCATTTACCGTAATACCCTCTAGTTCCATCCACGTCATTGCAAATGGCAAGATTTCATTTTTTTGATGGCTGCATAGTATTCCATTGTATATATACACCATATCTTCTTTATCCATTCATCTGTTGATGGACATCTAGGCTTTTTCCATAGTTTGGCTATTGTGGACATTGCTGCTATAAACATTGGGGTGCAGGTGCCCCTTCGGATCACTACATTTGTATCTTCGGGGTAAATACCCAGTAGTGCAATTGCTGGGTCATAGGGTAGCTCTATTTTCAACTTTTTGAGGAACCTCCACACTGTTTTCCAGAGTGGCTGCACCAGCTTGCATTCCCACCAACAATGTAGGAGGGTTCCCCTTTCTCCGCATCCTCGCCAACATTTCTCGTTTCCTGACTTGTTAATTTTAGCCATTCTGACTGGTGTGAGGTGGTATCTCACTGAGGTTTTGATTTGTAGAGCTTTATGGTTTTTTACAGAGAATTTTTCACACCCGTTTCCCCCATCTTTATTGAAGTACAGTTCGATAAAAATTGTATATAATTAAGATATACAACTTGATGTTTCGATATATTATGCCCATTTTAAAAATCTGAATCTCCTGTTAGTCTTAAAAAGTAACAAGAAGAGATGCTATCATGCCAGGTTCATGGTGGAACCAAATCTAGAGTTTCTCTGATTCCAGATCCTTTGCTTATTCTTTGTAGTTTTCAGTTGCTTATGTTTGTCAGTTCTGAGCTTTTAAGAGCAAGGACTAAATCTGATTCATCTTTATGTCTCTAAATAGTGTCCCTTTTAATTTTTAGGACTGTGACTGGGTGTGTTGTATAAGGCCCTGCCCCGTGGGAGTTGGCTTCCATGATCTCTCCCTTATCCTCCATGATTCAGTAACTTTTGATTTGTTGATATCCCTGAGCAATCCCACTGGCTGTGCATTTCAACAGGGGCAGCCACTTGGCTGCCAGTCTGTGAAGACCCATCTTTAGTAATGCAGACTTGATGTAGGACAGTTGGACAGTTTCTCAAAGAGTGCACTGGCATCCCTGGTGTTATGAGAGTTGACTTTAAAGGATGAGGATGAAAATGTTTAATTTTAGCAGTTACACATATAAATATACACATATATTACTTATACATATATACAGATGCATATATATTGTTGCTTAGAATGAAGTCAATTTTTTAAGTGAGTTTATTTAAAGAAAAGTGGTAAGTAATTAATAGTATGGTGGTATGTATGCAATAGCCAAAAAGCATGAAGCAGGTGTACCAATGACTCAAGTTCAAGGAATTGTTGTGAGGTGGGAAGATGTAACTAGAGTCACAAAATTCATTTCAAGTCTGGCTCTGTGACCCTCAAGCCATGTAACCCTGATTAAGTTGCTCACCTTAAGTGAGCTTCAGTTTTCTCATTCTTTCTGCAAAGTTGGAAAAGAATTCTTGCCCTCCTTAACTCAAATGAGAACAAATGGGAGCACATGGAAGCCTGGGAAACTCCTGTGCAAATGTCCAGTGGTGCTAATATCCTAATTCTCTGTCTTACTGAGGTTTATGTAGGACCTTCTGTCTCTGTCTCTTTCTTTAATATTTACTTATTTATTTGAGAGAGAGAGCCTGAGTGCGTGAGTGGGGGGGAGGAGCAGAAGGAAAGAATCTCAAGCAGACTCCCTGCTGAGCACAGAGCCCAACCACTCAGGCTCAATCCTATGACCCCTAGATCATGACCAGAGCCGAAATCAAGAGTCTGACGCTTAACTGACTGAGCCACCCAGGCGCCCCCAGGACTTTCTCTTTACTGCTGCAGAGGATGTCTCCTAATTAGCATGCATTTCCTAGCATCCCAAGGACTGGGTTCAGTTCAGTTAGTTGTCCACACCTAGGTCTGCCATTCTGAAGATTGGGAGGAGGGCGGGGCTGGAGAAGCTTGGAATCAGGGTAAAACAAGTCCCAACACATGTCACTGTTTGCTTTGTCATCCTGATTCAATGACCTCATGCAAGGAAGGGAGGGAGCCAAAGGAGCTGTTCTCTTCCAGATACCTAAGGAGGCTTCTGACATCCACTGTTTTCCTTGGCATGAGAGGAGCAGGCGCGGGGCTGTGATGTTTAAGGTCTGAGCTAATCTTGGAAGTGAAGGAGAACAGCACCTCCCACAGCTGGCCAGACTCTGCTTCTTGGGGAGCTGCCTAGAGTAAAAGGGCAGAAGAGGAATGACCCCAGGGGCCAGGGAGGATCATTATCCTCACACACTCATACCTTCAGTGAATACTTTCTGAGTACCTACTATGTACCAAGCCTTTTGGGGACATGAGGCAGCCATGTGAGTCAAAGGGCTGCATAGGACCTTAGAGTCACATTTTTACCACAGAAATCCTTTTGTCATCCTTACCCCATCCCTTCTCCCACCCTAGACTTAATTAAAGTTTAAATAAATTATGTTGTCACCCAAAAAACTGCATTTATTAATTATTTACTTCTAAGTTCTTCATAACTAATGATTTATGTAACTGCAAATAAGTAAATGTTTTTGATCAACACAAGATAATAACTAACATTACTACACACTGAGTAAATACCCAGTCAGACAAAAGCAAAGTAATCAGCATTTTAGCTATCCTGTTTATCCTGGTTGAGCTTTTTAAAATTTGGAGAGTGGCTGGCCGACTACCTGGGGAGTCCGTTTTAGAGATGGTGACCATAACCGCTGGGTTTTGAAGGATAAGCAAGAGTTCCTGAGCGGCGAGAAAGAGGGTGCTGCAGCAGGCAGAGGGGGCAGGACAGTCCCACACTACTGCTGTCCCTCCTCCACCCTTGGGCTGATCGAATGGATCAGGCTGTGGCATGAACTTAGTGGGTGGAAGCTGAATTTTGGAATGGAGCTAATGAGGGTGGAGATGAGAATTGGAAATTTTATGGTCGAATGTTCTAGTCTGTCCACGTCATGGTCCTGGAGAAACTGAGGCAGGAAATCCCACTAGAGTCCCTTTGGTTCCCAAGGGCAGAAGGGAAAAAGACAACAAAGGACAAGCCAAAACTCTGCCCCAGAGCTGGCCTGAAACCTGTCTCCCACCCTGGCTGCCCCGCCCCTTAGCTCCAATAGCAGACCATTTTTTCTGTGATTTTTTGGCTCATCTCATAAATGTTCCAGAATCAGAACAGGCTGTGCCATGGCTGAAACAAACTTGCTGAACAAATAAACAAGGCAGGCTGCAAGGCAGGGGAAGGCACCAGACATGGGTCCCTAACCGGGTCCATGAGTTCTGGTAAGTCTGTCCTGAGCCTGGGCCTCTGCTTCCTCCTTCCAACATGAGAGGTGGGAGCATGAGATTTTGGGGGTCCCTTCCAGCTCTGTGATCTAAGCAGATTGCCCACAGAGGGGTAAATGTCTGAGCTGCAAGTTCAAAAGAAAGCTTCCTTTCTGCTACGTGGTACAGCTAAGGGCTGGGAGGGGGAGATCTCCCCATGGCAGATACTGAAACCAAGGGATACCTGTTCCCTTGTTCACTCAGCAAACACAGAGTGTCCAGTCTTTGCTAGGTGCTCTGCTGCCCTTTCCCTCAAGGAGCATTCAAGGAGTTCTAAATGCTCTAGCAGAGGCGAGAATGTCACAGTTCCTTGCATGCACTGAGTTCTTGCCCACCTTAGGGCCTTTTCTCCTGACGCTCCCACCACCTAGACTGCCAGCCCCTCCCTCTTTGTTCTTCAGTCTTGGCTTAAATGTCATTTCCTCAATAAGGCTTTCCCTGACCACTGTATATGTGGTAGGGTTCCCCAGCTCTCCTGCCACACTCCATTACTCTCAGAATTTACGGTAGTTTGTAGTTCTACATCTGCCTGTTCATTTAGTTATTTATTTACCACCTTTTTGACTACAGTATAAGCTGCGTGAGGGCAAGAATTCTGTTTGTACTGATCACTTCTGGACCCTTAGCAGCATATACTTGTAGAATATGAGAATACTATGTTGGCATGTGCCAGATTTTTTTCATAAATTACCTCATTTAGTCCTCTTGACAACCCTAAGAGAAAGGTGGTATTATGTACATTTTGGAGTGAAGGGACAGAGTCTAGGGATGTTAAGTATCTTGCAGTTCACAGGACTGTCTCCAGTTCAGGGCTCTTTCTGCTTCACCACACGAGGCTCTCTGCCTGGCACCCCGACTCTGACTTCTTTTTCTTTTTTACTTTTTATTTTGAAATAATTTCAACTGACCAAAAAGCTACAAGACTAGTACAAAGAACTCCTGTGTACTCTTTACTCAAGTTCACCAGATGTAAGCATTTTGCTATATTTGTTTTAATATTCTCTCTTTCTCCTGGCTTGAATTTTTCCATGTTTATGCTGATTTTCTTTTTTTGAATGATTTTAGAGTGAGTTGGAGACATTATATATACATCTTTACCCTTAAGTAGTTATGTGTGAATTTCTCAAAAACAAGGATATTGTTTTATACAAAATCAAAATCAGGGAATTTACATCAGTATGATACCACTACCATATTAATATAATCCATATTAAATCCATATTTAACATATTTAACATAATCCATATTAAATTTATCCAGTTGTTCCAATAATGTTCTTTATAATGATACTTTTTTAGTCCAGGATCCAACCCAGGATCACACATTCCTTTTAACTATCATATCCCTTTTGTTTTTAATTCAGAACAGTTCTTCAGCCTTTCTTTCTCTTTCATGACATTGATATTTTTCCAGAGTATAAGCCAGTCATTTTGTAGAATATCTCTCAGCTTGGTCTAGTCTGATGTCTGCTCATGATTAGATTCAGGTTAGGCATTTGTGGATAGGAGTCTCACAGAAGTGATGCTGTGTCCTTCTTAGTGCATCCTGTCAGGAATCACATGATGTCTGCTTGTTCCAGGATTGGTGACATTAACTTCAAACACTTGGCTAAGGAAATGTCTGCCAGGTTTCTCCACTGTAAAGTTACTATTTTTCTCCCCTAATAATTTTTTTCTATTTTTTAATTTAAATTCAATTAATTAAAATATAGAGTATTGTTAGTTTCAGAGGTAGAGTTCGGTGATGCATCAGTCTTATATAGCACCCAGTGCTCATTACATCACATGCCCTCCTTAATGTCCATCACCGAGTCACCCTATCCCCCCACCTTCTCCCCTCCAGCAACTCTGTTTCCTATGATTAGGAGTCTCTTATCATTTGTCTCCCTCTCTGATTTCATCTTGCTTTATTTTTCCCTCTCTTCCCCTATGATCCTCTGCCTTGTTTCTTAAATTCCACATATGAGTGAGACAATGATAATTGTTGTTCTCTGATTGACTTATTTCACTTAGCACAATACCCTCCAGTTCCATCCATGTAGTTGCAAATGGCAAGATTTCACTTTTTTGATGGCTGAGTAATATTCCATCGTACCACATCTTTATCCACTCATCTGCCAGTGGACATCTGGTTGCCATCTGGGCACTTTCCATAGTTTGGCTATTGTGGACATTGCTGCTATAAACATTGGGGTGCAGGTGCCCCTTTGGATCACTACATTTGTATCTTTGGGGCAAATCTCTAGTAGTGCAATTGCCAGGTCGAAGGGTAGCTCTATTTTTTAACTTTTTGAGGAACTTCCACACTGTTTTCCAGAGTGGCTGCACCAGCTTGCATTCCCACCAACAGAGTAAGAGGGTTCCCCTTTCTCTGCATCCTCGCCAACATCTGGCATTTCCTGACTTGTTATTTTGGCCATTCTGACTGGTGTGAGGTGGTATCTCATTGAGGTTTTGATTTGGATTTCCCTGATGCCGAGTGATGTTGAGCACTTTTTCATGTGTCTGTTGGCCATTTGGGTGTCTTCTTTGCAGAAATGTCTGTTCATGTCTTCTGCCCATTTCTTGATTGGATTATTTGTTCTTTGGGTGTTGAGTTTGATAAGTTCTTTATAGATTTTGGATACTAGCCCATTATCTGATATGTCATTTCCAAATATCTTCTCCCATTCTGTCGGTTGTCTTTTGGTTTTGTTGACTGTTTCCTTTGCTTTGCAAAAGCTTTTTATCTTGATGAAATCCCAATAGTTCATTTTTGCCCTTGCTTCCCTTGCCTTTGGCGATGTTTCTAGGAAGAAGTTGCTGCGGCTGAGGTGGAAGAGGTTGCTGCCTGGTGTTCTCCTCTAGGATTTTGATGGACTCCTGTCTCACATTTAGGGCTTTCAACCATTTTGAGTCTGTTTTTGTGTGTGGTGTAAGGAAATGGTCCAGTTTCATTCTTCTGCATGTGGCTGTCCAATTTTCCCACCCCATTTGTTGAAGAGACTGTCTTTTTTCCATTGGACATTCTTTCCTGCTTTGTCGAAGATTAGTTGACCATAGAGTTGAAGGTCCATTTCTGGGTTCTCTATTCTGTTCCATTGATCTGTGTGTCTGTTTTTGTGCCAGTACCATACTGTCTTGATGATGATAGCTTTGTAATAGAGTTTGAAGTCCAGAATTGTAATCCTTCCAGCTTTGGTTTTCTTTTTTCAACATTCCTTTGGCTATTTGGGGTCTTTTCTGGTTCCATACAAATTTTAGGATTATTTGTCCCAGCTCTTTGAATCTCCCTTTATAATTAATAAGTAATTTAAGGGGAGATATTTTAAGCCTGTGAGTACTCTGCCCTCACCAAACTTTTCCATCCATTGATGATTCTTGACTAAGTCGATTAGTATGACAGTTGCAAAATGGAGATGTTGGTTCTGATTGTAAGGCTGGTGTCTCTATTTCAAGATGATAGTGTAGGATGGAAGGGACAGGGGAGCTGGAGACAACATCTAATTTTGTAAACATTTGGTTTCTCAAGTGTCTATTGTGGAAAGTAGAAGATGACTGGTATTTACTTTCTAACACTCCTAGGAAAAAAACTAAAGAATCAGACTGGATTTTAAATGATAAAAGATGTTACTTCCTAGTAGAATAATGATTTCCATTTATGTAGCACTTACTAAACTCCAAACACCATGCGAGCCACTTAGCAGACACTGTTTTACCAGTCCTTGTAACAAGTTTATGAGAGAGAGCATTGTTACCTCCAATTTATGGATGAGGAAACTAAGGCTCAGAAAGGTTAGGGTATTGGCCTAAAGTCACACAGCTAAAAAGTGGAAGAGTCTAGATTCCAACTAAGATGTGTTGGGCTGCAAAGCTCACTCTTTTTGGTGGGAAGGAGCTCTGGATGGTGTCATGGCATTCAGCCTCAACACTCATTCTGGACAGGGTGGGTTTTCAACTAATTCCCAGCTTATGGGTGAGGTTAGGCTCCCAATGTGGATGTTAAACCCAAGGGTCCAAGTCTTGCAAAGAAGCTGGTGAGGCCCCAGTGTAGTTATCTTCTGGCCTCAGCCAGGGGTCCCAGACCATGAGTAGCTCCTGGCCTGCCCTGCGGCCACCCCTGTTAGCCCAGTTGGCAGAGCCATCCCCAGACATTGACTCATCAGTTCCCCTCGCCCAGCACTGCCGCATCTCCTGTGCTTAGAAAGGCAGGAAACTGAACTCCGGTACTTCAGAAAGTCTTTCAACAATAAGCTTGATGAAAAGGGGATTTTTCCAGTTAACCCTGGAGAATTTCAGTTAACCAATGCCTTATTGTATTCTAGTTCTTTGAAATGTGGTAATCTATGTTCAGTGTGTTTTTATAGTAAATCTCATTAACCAGACGATTCAGTTAAACAGCATTTCCCCCACCCTTTAGGATAAGCTGAGGAGCCACAGAATTACCAAGTTGAAAAGGTTTTGGGGATCATTTAATAGGATCCTTCGTGTACAGATGAGGAAACTGAGGCCCAAGGTTACACAGCTTGTTACTGACACAACTGTAACTAGAAACCTCCAGTCCAAAGTGTTGCTGCCATGTCAAGAATAATTACAAAGCAGGAAACCTTTATGTCCAGGGTTACCTACAGGCTGAATTTAGCCTACAGTCATGTTTTGTTTGGCTTACACAGTGTTTTAAAAGTTGGGAAATTTCCCGTAAAAATCCAAATTTGTTTCTTTTGAAAAGCTGGAAAATCTAGTTATACCTGGCCCAGTGGCAGTGAAGGAGGACCGAGTAGCAGCAACCCCTCTAACTGGGGACATGGGATCTAGATGCCATCTCCCATCACCGTATCATTGTATACTTGGCCTACCTCACCCATTTCATGACCTGCTGGCCCCTCTAGGCATTGGAATTTGGGTTCTCTGCTTTATGGTGAAGGGCCTTCCTTGTTTAATAAAGAAGAGGTCTGAAGTGAGCCAGACCAAATAGGTGAGACAATGAGGAATCAGAAGCACTTATATTGAATGCCAGGGTGCAACACCAGGGGTCCTGGCTGGTCCTGGGCAAACTCAGGTCAGGGGCTAAGAAAGAGCTCTAGGGTCTTCCCATTTAGGTAAAAAATGTGAAACACTAAATAACAATAGGATAGATATTACCTGACAAGATAAGATATACTGGCTAAAGTGACTAGAACAGGCAAGATGAGCTAAAGCAGTTCAGATGGTTGAGAAAGCTATAACGGAGATGGGTCTTGACTCCCAAGTTAACCTGTTTTAAAGAACAGAGAGACTATGGGTAGAAAAACTAGCCAGGAAGCTACTACAACCATCAGAGCTGAGAGCTAGGTTTAGGTGAATGGAGATGGGAAAGGGAAGGAAGTGTGGATGCCAGGGAGAGCCCAAGGGGGGATGGACAGGATTTGGTGCTGGCATGGAGGTGGGTGGAGAGGGCAGAAGAGTCAAAGTTAATGGCACCTTTGTGCCTGGGTGACCAGGGGAATGTCATGCCCCAAACAGAAAAGGGAAACCAGGAGGGAAGGCTGACTTGGGGGAAGATGAAGAATTCATTTCTAGATGACAACAGGGCTTACATTTACTGTCCCAACGGGCAGATGAAACTGGGACTGGAACTCAAAGAGAGGTCAGAGGAAGAGAGCCAACAAAAAGAAGGAGCAATCAGAGAGGCGGGAAGAGAGCCAAGTTGGGGTATAGCTGTAGGAGCTCAGGAGAAGAGAGCTTGAGAATAGCCCTCTGTAGTGTCAGAAAACATGTCCAGAAGTCGAGAGAGCAGGGACTGAGAAAAGGTCCCCGAACTGGACAATGAGGAGGGCGTCACGCTGAGAATGCATATTTAGGAAGTAGAGGTGACTCTGGCACTCTGGAGACATCTCACAGGGCAGGGAGGAAGAACTAAGACCACAAGCAGAGGGCAGCTTAGGGAACAGGGTTGGGGGGAGGGAGGCGTGTCTGTAGGTCGTAGGGAAGGCTTCAGCGGAGAGGAGGAGATTGAGGATCCCTTTTAACCCCCGTGGGAAGAGGAGAGATCCTGAATCAAAAGCAGCCAGATTTCAAAGGCTGATTTCCATGGTAGCTGCTCTGTTTGCTTGGGGATGGGCTCTTGACTTCTCACTTATCATTCTGGAGCTATCTCATCTCACATCACTTCCTTATTTTGGACTCATTTTTCCTATCAGCATTAAAAAAGCAAAAACAAAAACTTTATTGGGTGCTGCCTACTCTGAGGGGCAGCAGACAAGGTCTGAGTGATTGAGTGAGAAGTAAATTGACCCCTCCCTTGACAGAGAAATCCCTTTGAGAACTGCGTCCCTTTGTACTGCCTCATGTAGTCCTGGGAGGGAAGCTTTATTCATAGAGTTCCCATTGTGCAAATGAAGTGGAGGCTCAGGGAGGTCAGGCACCAAAGCTACTAAGTGTTGGATTCCAGTGCAAGTCTTCTCAAGTCCAAGTGCGATGTCCTTGCCACCACCAGTTAGGCAGGACCCAGGGAATGAACTAGACTGGAGATCAGAGGGATGCCCACTATCCCAAGTAAGCGCTTTACAAACTGACCTCCCATGGCCATTTGGGGGTGAAATCCTTGCACATAGAAAGCCACTTTAAAAAACATACATTGATTGACTGTAAAGAGGCAGATCACAAGGGAGGGGAGAGGAAGGGAAGAAGGGAACAGTGAGTCTGTTTGGGAGGAAACTGGCAAGAGGAGCTGATCTATGGGCTACTCGGGGCCTCTGAGCTGGGGCTTTTGACCTGGGGTCCTCAGACTCCTAGGGTTGCACGCACAGCCCTGACATAAGCACAATTGCAGGGTCTGTTTGTGTGTGGGGGGGTGCATATGGACACTTTCTGGGGAAAGGGTGCATAGCTTTCATCAGATTCTCAAAGGGGCCTTTGTCCAAAAAAGAGTTGAAAACCACTGATTCCGAAGCATCTACAGGGACACTGGTATAATTTATACCTGGCCCCTGCCATTTTTTCTAAATCCTTGCCCAGAAATATATTCTAGGTAGCCTTTCATCGGGCACGGGGTGGGGAGGACGGGCTGGAAAGCCCTCCTCTGAAAGCCTCCTTTGGGGCCCTGGTGGTGGAGTGACTCCCTGAAGTCTCCGGGGTGCTGTGCGGCACGGGGTGCAGGGGTGGCCACCCCAGGAAGGGTCGTGTTGCTGCTTCCAGGGGGCGGGAGGGGCAGGCTGTGGGAGCCGGAGCGGATGTCATGGCTTACCTCAGAGCCCGAATTAGAAGGCTGAAAAAATCACAGCAGGAAATAATGTGGTGCCTAAAATAGAAGCATCAACTGGGAGAGAGGCTGGGGAGTAGGTGGCATTTGAGGCTCCTGCCGAGTCCTCCCCAGCGGCTGCCTGACTAGTGCGTCGGAGGCGTGTGTGGATGCAGTCAGGCCAGAAAAGGCCAGAAAAGGCCAGAAAGGCCGAGGCTGCATTTCTGCTAAGGAAGGAGGACTGCTCAGTAAATAGTCACACTCGGGATGGGAAGGCGGGGCTGCCCTTTCTGGCCTGGGGCCCCGCTTGTCTCCCTGCTGGTTCCTTCTCATCTGCCTCTTCCTTCCCTCTCCCCGACAATCTCCCATCCCTGACTTTGATCTTCCACTTTTTCCCACTGCCTCCAGCCTCCTCCTCCACCCACTACCTTTCCCTTAACCGCTCCTCTTTTTTCTCCCTCCCCTCCCCCTCTGTTTTTTCCCACACCAGCCCCTCCATTTCTGCCCTCTCCCCCAAGAGCCTGCCCGCGTTGCTCCTGGCCTCTGGGTTGCAAGCACCTTGCCCTCTTACCCAGGAAGCTGCCTGGAGGCCTTGTGTCTTCCTAGGCAATCCAGTCAGAGGTCATTCTAGGAGCAACAACCTTCAAGGTCAGCTTCCCTCTGCCTGACTGCATGACCCCTCCACCACCCCTGCCCAGGCACCATCCCCACCTCTGTGAGACTGTCAAAGCCCGGTGCCAGCAGAAAGGCCAGCAGGGCAGGCTTCGCTTCACCTGGATCACTGTCTCCAGAGGGGTTGAGCAGTAGCAAAAACTCTGCCTGCAGACCGGGGATGGTCCTCCTTCCATGGACACGTCCACAGAGGGTACCCTCACAAAGACTGGCTATGAGGTTTGCCAAGCAAGGGGCCCACGGCTACTGTGCTGCCTGAGACCAACAACCACATACAAAAATAGTACCTGGCCAGCACTTACTAACTCATTTAACCTCACAACAACCTCCCACTAGAAAAGTAGGTACTTTTATTATCTCCATTTTCCAGATGAGGAAACTGAGACACAAAAAGATGAATACTTTGGCCATGTTCACAGAGATAGTCAGGTGGAAGAGCCAGGATTTGGGCCCCAGGGGTCTACTGCAGGTCCCTTCTGCCAGATTTCACATGTTATTGCCTCTTAGCTTAGTGCCCTTCTATGCAGCTTTTCTTTCTAAAAATGATCTTTGTTTTGTTAATTTTTTCCCCCTGAAAATAAGTATAAGGTATTTGAGATGCTAAGCGTTATGGGTGCTTGGAGATTTCAGTTCTTAAAAAAATCAGATATTCTTATTTTTACTTCTCTGGGTGTTTTTCCCCCCAGCTGTTCCTCTCCTGAAAATAAGTGCTCTCATTTTTGCCATTTTCAAATGCTGTGCATCCTCATCACCATCTGGAATGGAACGGGCACTCATTTGTGCTCAAGTGCGCTGCCCACATACATGCGCCACTGGTTCCCTCCCGCGTTATGTCTTTGTGTCGCTCTGAGGTTAATGGCTTATGATTTGCCGAACAGAATTCTCAGGAAACGTTATGTGGCTAGTGTGGCTTCACATGGGCTTTGTTCCCCGGAGACTGGGCATTATTGGAATAAGTGGTAAGAAATAGTGGCTAAGGTTGTGGGGAGGGGACTAAAAGAAATGTCAGAATGAAATAATGATGTAGTTAACATTTATTAATACTTACTAAATGCAAGTCATTTAGCATTAATAAAATGCTAAGCATTTTACAGGAATGATCTCACTGTGTAACCTGTGTTATTAGTGGTATCACCACCATTTGACAGAGAACTCGAGGTTGGGGAAGGCTTAAGGCTTGAGGGGCTCGTGCACTGAATCAGGACTCTGCAGATTAAAAGGAGGTGCTAGTTTTGGCGAGCCTTTTCCTCCAAAAATATCCGGAAATATCTTTGTCATCGTGCTAATTTTACAAGTAATATGCTCACCGTGAAGAATTAAAACAGCACAGAAGTGTACAAAGTAAAATATAGAAGTCCTTCCCCACAATGTGCCTCTGCATAGACTTTGACACACTTCTACATTTTAAAGTGCCTGGTATCACACTGTCATGCTCTTCCGTGGACATCTGTGTGTGGGGGCAGTCCACACTTGATTATCATTTCACAATGCCAGTGGGGAATTGGGGGGGGCCAGAAGTTATGAACACTTATACTTTGGTCACTTGTTGAAATGTACAAGTTGTGGTTTTATTTTAAGCCATGGTATGCAATGAAAGGTGAGGATGCGGTGCAAATAGGCCCTCGCATTGCTGGTGGCAGTTTAAGGAGTACAATCTTAGAGAAAACAATTTGTTAACATGTATCGGGAGACTTAAAAATGTTCACACTTTCTGCCTCAGAATGATTCCACCTATGGGAGTCTGTCTAACCCACGCAAATAAATAAATGAAAAAGTACAATTTAGCATTATGAGAGTCAAACTTTGGGCATAATTTAAATGTCTTTCAATAAGGGAATGGTTAAATAATAAATAGGAAAAAAGGACAGTTGTCTTTTTTGTGGGAATACTATATGCTCATTAAAAATGATGGTTATGAAGCCTCTAGTGACATGGTAGAAATGCTTAGAATGCAGTCTAATGAAAAAAAGTAGTTCACACAGTTACATGCACTTATGATTATAATTGTGTAAAAAGAAACCATAAAGACATAGTAGCAGAATGATATCAATGGTTATATTACAGTGTTGGGATTAATGTGGTTTTTCTTTTTCGTTCTTTCTGTAATGTGGTTTATTTTTGTAGCAAAAATTATATTTGTTTAAAGGCTGGAAAATGGTTGGAAATTGTCAAAGAACTCTGCTTCCTTTCTCTTCTCTGGATCTGAGTTTCAGTTTCTGTAAGAAGCAGTTAGACTAGAAGGAGAGGACTGCTAACTCATCCTCTGATACTGTATATTCTCTGATAGAAGCAGGTGTTTTCTGTTACAGGTTCGAAGCCAAAAGTCAATCTTCACAACTGAAAACAGATCAGACAGGAACCTGTTTTGTAACCATTAGCTTAGGCTATGCTTGCACATGTCAACTTCTCCATGTTCATTGCAAGAAGAAGAATGTTGTTTAAATCTTTATAGATGCATCCTTAAGGCTCAGTGTTTTCATGGGGAGGTAGAGGGCCCTGGACTTGGCAGTCCTAGGACTGGATGTTGAGCAGTCACTTCCTGGCTCATCCCAACACTGAGGGGCTGTGTCTGGGACCGGCTCCCTCATTCCCCCTCCTATGACCCAGGATGCCAGTGGTGTACGTGGCTCTCCCAGGGCCATACTGGCCCACACATCTGCAGTGCAGGGCCTGAATGGAAACTGTTTCCCTGCCTGGTAGAGAGCTCCTTTTAGACAGGAACTAGGTTTTTATCCCTGGTATCTGAAGTATGAATGAATGAATGAATGAATGAGAGGGAGATAGAGTGAAGATGGCCCATTATATGGGAGACCCAGGATTTCACTGAACCTTTGAAATAAGTGAGGCTAGCAGTCAGGGGAAGCATGTTGTGAGTTCATGGATCTGGAGTATTGAGTGTGTAAGTGTGCATGTGTGTGTGCATGTGTGCGTGTGTGTGTGGTGTGGTGTGTTTGGAAAGGGGCAAGGCTGGAAGAATACCTCTCTGCTAGCACAGCCTTCGTCAGAGCCCAGAAAAGGGCTGAGTGGGCTCTGACTCAGCTCTGTGACTCACTCTGTGCATTGCCGTCTCCATGCTCTGGGCACATCCTCTGGACCATTTCAGCCCAGCCTCGAGTGGAGGAGGGCGAGATTTGGGCCGGCACCTCCGGATGACTCATCCTGCTGAGCTGGAAGGAAGGGGCCAAAGCCCCACTATCCTGCACCCTCATCACCATCCCTTCCTCTCCAGGGGTTCCCATGCAGCCCAGATCTCATGCATAGGTTATGGCTGTTCCGCTAAGGCCCCCATCCAGGCACTGCCCACCCACCTACCCACACCTCCCTGCTTAAACTGCTATAATTTCATCTGAAGTCAGCTTGTAAGGAGGCTTGAAGGCTCCTCCACACCACCCAACTGCCATTCTGTTCTTCACCTCTCACAATACTTTCCAGTTTATAAGCTAGTTTTACATCCCTTTTCTCACTTGATTCTCTCTCAGACCTGTAAAGCCTGGCAGGGTGGCGAATATCACCACTGTGCAGGGAAGGACATAGTAAAAGGATAAGTGAAGGGCACTGAGGGCTGGGGTGGACAGAGGCATGCTGGGGGTGGGGGCAGAGCTGGCAAGGGAACTGCAAGGCATTTGGGTAGACAGTGGCCTGGGGAGGAGGGACGGTGCTGGCTGGTTTGTGACACAACAAGAGATATGGCTGCACGGGGGGCAGAAGACAGACACGGTGTTTTGACTTTATCCTGAGACCAGTGGGAAAGCCTTGAGGGTTTTTAAGCAGGGGGCCCGGGGTGTGGTCTGGCAGGGACTCAGAGCAGGGCAGACCAGGAGGCTATCTGCAGTTCAGGTGAGACCTGGTGGTCTGCCTACGCACAGCAGCCCCTGGGATGGTGTCAGCCCTGAGTCAATTAGAATATGCTGGTTCTATGGTAAAGGGCCAGAGCTCTCGACAGACAGTGACTGGAGTGGGGCAGTAGATGTGGTGGCTCAGGGAAGAGGGAAGAACACTAGGGACCCCAGCACTTAAGAGCTGAGCAAAGGCAGGTGCAGCCCCTGCGACAGTACTCTTAGGAGGAGCACATGGTATGTTAGGGCCCCTGCCTGCCGGTGACCTCCATCCATGTGGACAAGACCCTGTGAAGGAGACAGGTTACTCTTGTCTCATAGAGGTTCACAGGTAAAAGGGCCCAAGGGGACCCCTGGTTCTTCCCTCTGTCGTGCTCCTTCTCCTGCCACCCAATGCTGGGCTGCACGGGTTACCACCCAGGAAGTGAGGACACAGCCTTCGCAGGCAGCCAGGAAGTGGCCTCTCAGAAGAGTTCCCAAAACAGCCAGTGGGCTGTCGCTGCAGGCTCGGGGAAGGGGGCTGGATTCCCTGAGCCCTTTTAACCCTGGGGATTTCAGAGAGGGTAAGGTTTCCAGATAAAATATGGGATGCCTGGTTGAATTTGAATTTCAGATAAATAAATAATTTTTAGGATAAGTATATGTCAAACATTCCATGGGAGGGGCGCCTGGGTGGCTCAGTTGGTTAAGTGCTCTTGATTTCGGCTCAGGTCGTGATATCAGGGTCGTGAGATCAAGCCCTGCAATGGGCTCTGTGCTCAGTGTGGAGTCTGCTCAAGATACTCTCTTTCCCTCTGCCCCTTCCCCTGCTCGCTCTCTCTCAAAATAAATAAAATCTTTTAAAAAAATTCCATGGGATTTACTTATATTTTGAAAGTATTTGATTCTTATCTGAAATTCAAGTCCAACTGGATGTCTGTCCTATTTTTCTATTTGCTAAATTTGGCAACCCTTAGGGTGCCTCACTGCCACTGCATACCAGGGCCTTGGGGATTTTCCTCTGTCTGAGACCATGTCAAGAACAACCTCTGTGTCCCTCAGCCTGCCCTGGGGCTCAGGTCACCTGGGGACACAAGCTCTGTCTCTATGATAGCCTCTAGCTTCTGGCTCAGCCCAGCGGGCATCTAACCCAAGCTGCTGTGGCCTTCCACGTGCTAGCGGCTCCCCACCTGGATGGACAGCCTGCTGCTTCTGATCATGGGACCTAACAAATGAGGTACCGGGGCTGTCCTCTGGTCAGCAGCATCTGCCAGGGTGTCACATCCAGGCCCAGGAGGTGGCCCAGCAGGCCTGGGACTAGAGGACTGGAGGAAAAGGGACAGGTAAGCTCTGCCCTGGGGGTGGAGGTGGTGGGGTCAGGGTTGCCGGGGGTGGGGTGGGGTGTGTGTTTCAGAGGCCTACTGATAGAAAATGGCAACACCGTACCTGGCCTGGGCTTTACAGAGTTCAGGGGCTGTCACATGTCTGGCCTCATTCGACCCTTACCATGTCCTTGTCAAGTGAGCAGGAGGGCATTTGCAGCTGCCTTCTCCTTTATAGATGAGCAAACTGGGGCTGAGAGGTCAGGTCTGCCCAGAGAGCTGAGGCCCCCCCGCCTAGCACAGAGCAAAGTGATCAGCCAGGCTGCTGCTTCAGGAAGTATGGGAGTTGGCACTCTGGGTGAAGTTTCTCCATTTTCACAGTAGGGGGCAGACCTGAAACCATGCTTTAAAGATTGTATTTATTTATTTGAGAGAGAGAGAGAGAATGAGAGACCGAGAGCACGAGAGGGAAGAGGGCAGAGGGGGAAGCAGACTCCCCGCCGAGCAGGGAGCCCGATGCGGGACTCGATCCCGGGACTCCAGGATCATGACCTGAGCCGAAGGCAGTCGCTTAACCGACTGAGCCACCCAGGCGCCCCTGAAACCATGCTTTAAAAACTAGGTGGACAAGGCCACAGCCCTACCCTGGCCATAGGCAAAGAAGGCAGGCCGGCAGCTCTCACTGAAGGAGAGAGTGTCCTTCCAGAGCACATCTCATCTGTACCCCTTCCTGGGCACGGAGTGGGCAACAGAGAGGACCTCTCTGGGGCAGCAGTATGGGTACTGAGTGCTGTGAGGATGTGGGTTAGTCACAGCAGAGTCTCAGTGAATGTTGAGCCAGACTGAAGGAGGAAGACACAGTGAGTGGTGTGCGTGGCTGAAATTGCGCATGTGAGGAGTTGTATGTATTTATTCCAGAAATGCCTTCTGAGCACCTACTACATGCCAGACACCATTCTAGATCCTGGGGATACTAAAGGATAGAATAGATGTGCACACACTGGTGCTTCACAGATCCTCTCTTGCTCGTGCATTGACTGTTTTGACCTCAGCAAATGTAATGCAAAATTTAGCCCCTTTACCAGCTTCCAGGAAAAAACCCTTCTCTACCAAACATAGGGTGGGGGACTCATTTTACTGAAGATTTCCTGGGACAGGGCGAGAAGCAATAAGGCTCTTCTCATAGCTCCTCTGTGCGAATCCTTCTCCCATGGCCCCCTTTGGCCCTGCAGCCCTGCAAGTAGGCCCTGGGGGCACATCGTTCTCCCTCTACCTCCCAACCCAAGCTCCCAATCTGGCCAGCCTTTTGCCCACAGTTTCGCACACATTCCAGTCTTGGGAGGGCAGGCTTTTGTCTTGTTTCTGTCTCACTGTTTGACCTTGAAGAACACGGCCTCAATCTCCAGGGCCCCTGCTTTCTGATGCGGGGATGTTGTCTCTATCCCATTTCCATTCCACTTCTCAGAATTATTCCAGGGTGAAATGAGCTCATATCTGAAAAGACTTGTCCTCAGAACTCTAGCACCGTGGGTCATCTCAACCAGACACACTTGATGGCATCTTGCTCAGTGTTAGATCAGCCAGGGGAAGACCAGGTCCTCGTGTTTTGTAAACTCAGGAGATGATGTCTATGTGAGTAAGGGTTCCCTTTTATTTTAGATTGGATGTAGTTTAGCACCTTGTTCTCACTCTTTTTAATAAAATAAAACAATAAACACACCCTACCATCAAAAGAACATTGACAGCCTGTGTTTATGTGTTTGTGTTGTGTCTGTCACTGAAGCTGCAACTGCAGTGTAGATTTGTAACAAAATGAGTTTTCCCTCAGTGCTGGGGCGTATGATAGTTAAGAACAAAAAGGAGGGCAGATTCTTCTACTGCGTCTTTTCAATCCTGCTTTCTCTTCCTTTTCTTCTTTTTTCTTTCTTTCTCCCTTAAAACAGAGGTGTTGACCCCTCTGTTAACATTGACCTTGGCCATCTCTGACAAGGCCAAGGCAAATAAGCTGGGTTCCAAGAGTGCTGGTGCTCACTCTGTGAAGACTCCAACTGGGGAGCCAGGCTAATGTTCTCCTTCCTCCTGCTCTTGCTGGGGGGTGGGGGTGGGGGGGTGGTTTAGTCCGCTGCTCCGCCCTGCCCTGCCCTCAGAGCTCTGCAGTGTGATCTGGACCGCTGAAGGTGGTGCCTCTAGTGAGCGATGTGCGTGTGAGTAAGGAGAGCAAGGAAAGAAGAGAAAAGACAAGGAGCAATGAGAGACTTACCAGGTGCCTTGTGAGCTCAGAGACAAGGGTGACAGACCCAACAGTCATTTATACATTTTAATCAGAAGTTCAAGGGTGCCTTGGCTGGCTCAGTCAGAAAAACCTTGTGACTCTTGATCTTGGGGTTGTGAGTTTAAGCCCCACGTTGGATGTAGAGATTACAAAAAAAAAAAAAAAAGTTTGGTCTATTGGCTGAAAGTAACAGGAACCATTCTAATTAGCTTGAGCCCCCAAGGGAAAGGTGTTGGCTCACATAAGCTGACTGTGGAGCAGAGAGGGAGCAACTAGGTTCCAGGAGTGGATGCCCTTGGGACTTGCCTTCCCCTCTTGGGTGTTGGTTCATCCATAGCTCTCAGGGCTGTGCCAGAGAGAAGAGAGATCTTCCCACCAGCTTCAGATAGAAAGCCCCAGCAAACAGCAACATACCATTTTTCAGCATCAGATTTCAAAAATATTAAACTTAGATAATCTTAACTGTTGGTGAAGGGATGGGAAAATGGGGACTTCTTAATGCTCTGATACACTGCTGGAGGGGGCATAAGTTGTCCCAGCCACTTTGGAGGGAAATGTGGCACTATGTATTATGATTTTAGATGTGGGTACTATTGATCTGATGGTGCCACTTCTCAAAACCCAGATTAGTAAATCTCACACATGTGCATAAAGAAAGAAATGTTATTTGTAGAACAAAATTAGGAATAACTTAAATGTCCATCTTTAAACCATGGTGTATTTTATACTCTGAAAATATGGAAACTGTTAAAAAAGAATGAAATGTGTACTGACATAAATCCCTAAGACATCTTGGTAAATAGGAAGAGTAATTTGCAGAATGATGCATACAATATGGTATCACTCAAGCATAAACAAAAATGAAAACAAAGCCTTGAAATAATAATAGATATGTCTATGTGTGTGTTTTTCACATATATTTCACACTGTATCCAAATGCTTACAAAAAAGCAACGAGGGACTAAGATTAGGGGTGGGAGGTGAAGGAGACTGTCAGGTTTGACGTTTTTCAATGATAGCATTGTGTATAATTTATTTAGAATTAAAAGTGGAGAGGAAAAAATGATGGAAGCATTCTGATTGGTTCAAGTTGGGCCGTGTGACTATTCCTAGACCAATCAGTGGCCAAGAGTTCTATAACTGGCCCCATCTGGGTTACGCATTCACCCCTGTGAACTCTGGAACGCTACTCATGTTGGGCAGCTCCTTCCATAATTATACATTATGGTGGGGCAAGGAGCCGTTTCCTCAAAGAAGGGAGGTGCTGTTCTGGGCAGACAAAATGGTAAATGTCTGTGGTGAAAGCATTTGGGCCAGCATCATCTGTATGAGTTTACGTATGTGTCACCGAAGGCCAAAACGCTTTGTTCAGTATAATTCTCTTATAGTACGGGATAAGGATTTGTACTGCTCACTGCTGTATCTCCAGAACCCGTGAAAACTCAGGGTATATTGTAGTTGCTTGGCCTAGCAGATATTAGTTGAATGGAGATACCACTATTATCATCTATGATTATTTTAATAGTAATCTACAAATGGACCAGCTGACAGAGGCAACTCCTCCCAGATGCTCTCAGTAGAGGCAGAGGGAAAAAGGAAGAGGAAGTCAAATCGCCAGCTCAGGACTCCTCCCAAGGCCAGGGAGTCACCAGGACACACACCTGGGACAGTTTGGCAAGGACCTGGCGGAGGCATGGGGTGGGGCAGGGGGAGTCTGCAGCCCAGGCACTCATACTTCTTACGACCAAGTGGTGCTTCCTTTACAGGCTACTCACTTTGCAAATGCTCCCTTAGCCTGTGTGATAGCCTCACCAGCTGTGGAAGATGGGCCCACAGTGGAAGAGAAGGTGACAAAATGGGCCAGGTTACCCAGGGTGGGTGACCCTTGGGGGGAATCACTTAAGTCATCTGAATTCTTATTGGCAAAGTGAGAATGGTATCTTAAAGAATCTCTCCCTTAGCCAGTGGTGAACATGTCCCTCCATTATCCACTGGTAAACATAGAGGCATCAACTGAAACCCAGAGAGGGCTCATTTTTCTGAGCGTAGAGAAAGAAGTCAGAGTCTCAAGGATTGAGCCTTGGGGGGTGCCCCCAGCGGGAAAGGAAGGGCATGTAAAGGGCAGAGTGAAGGAAGAATAGGTGGTCCCAGGGGAAGAACAACCAGGAGCTTAAGATCAGGAAAGCTAATGATGCAGAGAGTTCCAGGAAGGGGGGCACCAGCAGTGTTAACACTGGTGCTGTTGGAAGGAGGCCTATGGGACTCTAGCAAGAGAATGGTTCCAGAAAATGGGTGAGGCTGGAAGCCAGCCTGCAGAGGGGAAAGAAGAAAATGGCTTCCAGTTCTCTTCTCCCCACTTCCCAAGAGTGGGTAGTCCTTCCCCCTCTCCCATCCTCCTCCTGAGTGCTGGCCTCTGCCTGGGGAAAGAGCTGGTCTGCCCCAGGTCTGCAGGCATGAAAGGCTCAGCCCCAAGCCCCAGGCCTGACCTAGCCCTCGTCACCCCCTCTCCAAGAGAACTGGATCCTGCTGGGTCCTGCACTAACCCCACTCCCCATTCCCAATGGGCTGAGATCTTGCCTGGAAGGGGCTGACCAGCTGGAACCTTTCTTCCCAGGCCTGGCCTCCCTGGGCACAGTGGCAGATGAGCTCTGTATAGCCAGGTCCAGAGTATGTCTGCTCCAGGACTTCTGTGTCTTGGGCCATGTGGTTATCCTCTTTGGGTCTTCTCTGCCACGCAGGTGCCCCCAAG